TTTCAGTATCCCCGGACCACGAGGTCACTCCCAAAAACAGGGCTACTACTTATTTTTTAGTACTATTGTTTTTGTTTAGTAGATAAAAATCATCATCTCCATCGAAGATGGATCAACCCTCTTCCCCCAACTTCTAGCTTCTCATGATCTGAAAACAAATTTGGTATTAATTAAATTCAACTCAAGACATTCCGGGAAGCTAAAAGTTGTTAAAATAACGAGTTACAGTTCTCTCCCGAGACCCTTCCGGATTCTGGAATCCGGAGAAATAACGCTCTTATTTCTTTTCGGAAGGCTGGACACGTTACAGAGCAGTTACACGTTACGATTGTGTAACGATTGGAATCCGGAGAAATTAACGCTCTTATTTTTCCCGGAAGGCTGGACATTTTACAGAGCAGTTACGGAGCAATTCTTGTGAACTGCCCTGTAACGATTGTTGTTGTTGTTGTTGTTGTTGTTGGGGATTCACAGCACTGCTGTTGGGATTCTTGGTCCCGGCGTCTTCTCTAAAACAATGTCCACTTGTTTCTGCACGTGATACAATCACAGAATAATTGCCACGTGCACGTTGTCATTTCTGAAAATCTCTTGTTTTACAAATTTCCACATCGTGTTTAAAATTCTCGTCTTGAGGCCGATTCGTTTATCAAAATGAATATATGGTTCTAATCGATTTACAATCCTACTGGTTCTGAAAACAAATTCGTTTCTCGCTTTTTCCGTTCTCACTTTTCGCATCTCAAAAATTTCTGTATTTCTAGCCCGTGTGGTTCGCCTGTTTAACACTATTTCATTTCGTTCATTAGAATCAAGACTGGCAAGAAGTAAGATGTTATTTAGCTGGATGAACATGGGCAGGGGTAAAATGTTTAGCAAGCGTAGTTCGTTGATGTACACTCCCGTTTTATTTCCAGTGATCCAACGGATTACTTTCTTTTGAAATCGCTCCAACTGCAATTGATCCCCCCTCGATATATGTGTACATGAGAGTCCGTATAATAACACTGGGAGTATTCGTGACTTATACAGGCCTAACTTTACAAACGTATTTATCTTTGCTGATAGGTTTCTTCTCAGAAGGTACAGTACTTGGTTTGCCTTCTTTAATCTTGTTTCAATGTGTACCTTCCAACTTAAATCGCCCGACACAAAAATTCCCAGATCTTTCACAACCATCGATGTTCCAAGCACTACACCAAAAAGCATAGAGTTAGCGTCTCCGCCCCTAAAACTTACTTTTGCACATTTATCTAGTGCTAATTCCATTTTGTTTTCAGTTACCCACTGCTGAATTTTGTCCAGATCTTCTTGAATTTCAATTGATGTTTTTTTGATGGAAAGTAGTTTAAGATCATCCGCAAAAATATATGGTTCAGAGAATTTGAGTACTTCAGGTAGGTCGTTAATAAAAATGCAAAAGAGCAGTGGTCCTAAAAGTGATCCTTGGGGAACACCACTAGTGACTTCTAAAACTTTTGAGCTGATATTGTCTACTCGTACAAACTGTTTCCTGTTTTTCAAATAGTCATAGAGTACCTCTAACATGCAGCCTCCTATTCCTATAAGTGCAACTTTCTTAAGTAGATCAAAATGCGGAACTTTATCAAAGGCTTTTGCAAAATCAGTGTAGAATGCTACAATTTCTGCGTTTGAGTCATTGTCAAGCGCTTCATATATTTCTTTCAGGAAAGAGAGCATGTTTGTCAAAACTGATCTACCTTTAGTAAAACCGTGTTGATGTTTCGTCAAATACCAGGCAAAGTAAGGGTACAGGTCTTTGTAAATACATTTTTCAAGGACTTTGCTGTCAATATTTAATAGCGATACTGGTCGATAGTTGTTCACCATTTTTTGGTCACCTTTTTTGTGAACAGGAGTAGGTATTTTTCGTAGGCGTTTTACGTTTCTCAAAAGTTTGCATATATTGCGGTTCGTTTTCTGAAAAAAGCTAGGTGGCAACCCATTTGGGCCGCGTGACTTTGTTACGTCCAGAGTTGATAAAATCTCACTTACTGTCTTTTTCGATATATCAAAATTCGTTAACAAGGGATTTTCAAATTGAATATCTCTAATACTAAAAATTTCTTTAGGGTTAAAAACTGAATGAAAGAAGTCATTTAGCATGTTGACTTGTTCGTTTGGATTTGTGCTTTCAACTTCATCTTTTATGAGTAACTTAGGAAGACTTGTATGTTTATTCAAGTTCTTTAGGTGTTTAAAAATTACATTAGTGTTCCGTGTTCTAAACAATTCCTCTTGGTAGTTTTTCCTGTCCAATTCCGATGATTCAGTTACTAAATTTTCAAACAGTTTAACTTGTTGTCTTCTGTTGTTGGTCGGTTTGAGTATACATGATTGCCGTTTTGTTTGTAACTTTTTGATCAAATTTGAAGTGCTACTTGTTATCCAAGGTGGAAGTGATTTCCTATGTCTTGTTCTGAGAGGCACAAAACTCTTAATGATTTCATCCAAATATTGGGTGTACTCCTCATGCATTTTGTTAATGTTTGTGTGGCATACTGGTTCAAATGGGTTCTCGTTTATAAAATTGTTTATTCCTTCAAAATCGGCATTTCCAAAACTTCTAAAATTTTCCAAGTATGGTTTCGGCTCTGATACCGTGCATTCAATAGACAACATTATGGCATTGTGATCTGAGCAGTCATAAATCTTGGAAACGTTAAAATCTTGTTCGGCACTTGTATAGCAATTCCGATAAAAGGCTACGTCTAGTATGTTCTTCACACATGTTGGGAAATCTATCGCCTGCCTAAAGAGTCCATTTTCAAAAATTTGCAGTATTTGGTTTTCTTCCTCGTCAGTACTGGTGAGGGTGTTCCAGTTTGTTTCTGGGAAATTTAAATCCCCTCATAAGAGAAGCGGTTTGTTTTTAGGAATGGCTTTGATCAGTTGTTCAAATTCATGCACTTTGTATCTGTAATTACTGTTTTTTGGCGGATTGTAGGATGAGCCAATTATCATTTCAGTTTGATGAAGTTTTATACTACATAGCACACATGAATCAGGAATGTCATGTTTGGTGGATAAGTCCTCGGTAATTAGACTATTCTTGACAGCTATTAGGCTGCCTCCGTGACAGTTTTTACCACTCACAATAGCTCTATCAGATCTATAGATGTTATATTCACTTAGAAAAAGCTCTGATGATTGAATATTCTCAATAAGCCAAGTTTCGCTTAAGCAAATGACATTAAAATTTCCAACTGCAATTGCATTTGCTAGCTTAGTTCTTCTCTCTATGTTGATTAGGCTTCTAGTATTTAGTTGCAGAATGTTGAGGAATCCTAGTCAATGCTGGGGTTCCTGAACTTCAGTGTCAATAGTTACTTTCACACCATCATTGAACAATTCTAGATTCCTTATTTTCAGCTTTTCGCGAGGAACGCCTTCATCTAGTAGTTGTCTTCGTTTCTTAAGGATTTCGTTCTCTTTAATTGCACTCTCTTTGGTCAATGCTGGTAGCAGGTAGACCTCTTTTTCGACCAATTGTTCTCGCTTTTCTCGGCTTTTTGCTAGTACTAGTCGTGCTTCATGTTCGCTAGGTACAGTTACCAGCAGTGTTCTTGGCTTCATTCGATTACGATCAAATTTTCCCAGTCGTTTTAGTTCTATTATTTTCGGCTTCACTCCAATTATGTCTAGTATTTCGTTTACTTCGTCATTTGTTGGGACAAGGTTTTCTCCTTTTGTTTTCTAAGGGTCCTCTTTGACCCCTTGTATCCTAAAACTTTGATTTATGTTGTGATCAGAGTTAGATCTGGCAGCATGTTGAGTGGTTTGAGCTTGATTTATCCGGGTGGTGGTTTCAGCAGCTACAACGGCACTATAAGTTTTTTCCACTTTATCGCATGTCGTTTTCATTGCATTTCCAATTTTTTGATCTACTAAATCGGTAAGTCTTCTTTCCATGATTTTAAGGCTTTCAGTTACATCAATGTTTGAGAGCTTCTCGTCTATGTTGGCCAGGGTTTTGCATCTTATAAAGTTGTCTCGTTCATTATTTTGCACACAAGTATTACAAAGCAACATGACATTCGGCCCTAGTTCTTTTATTCCATTTATGGCCACTAGAGACAACCCAACACAAGTTGGTTCCAAATGAATTTGAGCGTTGCATGCGACACAAGTGTATGTTTTCTCGTTGCCGGCAAAGCCTCTTTTACATGTTTTGCAGTTTTTGCCCATTTTTGCTTATACTATGGATAGAAAAATAGTTAAACCTGGTGGTTCCCGAAAAGGGGAGGCCTGTGGCTCACTCAGGGGAAAAAGAAGAAATAGACAAACCTGGTGGTTCCCGAAAAGGGGAGGCCTGCGGTTCACTATTTCTACTTACGTTAATAGGGGCACTGACAGTTCTTGAAACGACACTCGTAATATACCAGATGTCCTTCTGTATTGCAGATGTTCGAATGTTTATCGTATAAGATTTTATTCTTGAGAATACTTTTAATGCCCTTCAGACCTTCTTCACTGAGGTGCACTTCGTCAGTTTTCAAATGATATGAGCTGTGGATTTTTTCACTCACTCCTCTAAACTTCCAAGTTCCTTTTATCTTTCTTAGGAATTCGTTTATTTTTGCAGATCGAGCTCGGTTCTCACTACGATGAGGGATTCCGATGACGAAAAATTTTTTGGCTCGTTCACACAGCTCCTCGGCTAGCTTCGACAGTTCTTCAGCAATGTCGCCTGCAGGTATACTGGAGGGGTCTTTTCCGTTGAAGGCGTCGTATCCGCCGATGAGCAGAGCGATGATGTTGAATTTGTCTTTCTCGGGTAAGAAGTTTTGGACCGCACCAATTCGGGCCCCAGGTAGGGACAAGATATTGAAATTTGGAAAATCAAGATGGCGTGCTTGAGAATCCGCAATCAGGAGATTTTTTGAAGATGATGTCTTGAGCAAGTGATATCTTCTGTCGGACATTTTATCGCGGGGCAACCATTGCTACCCCGGTAAACATTTCAAGTATCTGAAACTATTTAATAAGTTTATGACAACAATTAGGCTAACGATTGTAGCGGAACAATCGTTACAACTCGGAGTGGTTTCCGACAATTTCTAATCACAATCTCAATCTGTTGTTGTCACTGAGACTACTGTTGGGCTGATTTCGCAGTTTCAGTGTGTGCGCAATATTAAAAGCTTACGTATCATTCAAGTCCAAATCGAAATTTTAAAAAATAGCATGTCAGTCAAAACTACATTGGTCAAAACTAAAAATTAGAGTTACAGTTCTCTCCCGAGACCCTTCCGGATTCTGGAATCCGGAGAAGTAACCCTCTTATTTCTTCTCCGAATGCTGGACACGTTACAGAGCAGTTACACGTTACGATTGTCTAACAATTGCTAAAACGAATGCGAAATTGCGTTACAGTCCTCTCCCGAGATCCTTCCGGATTCTGGAATCAGGAGAAAAAACGCTCTGATTTCTTCTCTGAAGGCTGGACACGTTACAGAGCTCTACCGAGTTATAGTTCTCTCCCGAGACCCTTCCGGATTCTGGAAGCCGGAGAAATAACGCTCTTATTTCTTCTCAGAAAGCTGGACACGTTACAGAGCAGTTCTTGTGAACTGCTCTCTAACGATTGTAGCGGAACAATCGTTACCACTCGGAGTGGTTTCTGACAACTTCGAATCTTAATCTCAATCTTCTGCCGTTTTTTCGTTTTTGTTGTCCTTGAGACTAATGTTGTTCTGATTTGGCAGTTTCAGTGTGTGCAAAATAATAAAAATTTACGTGTCGTTCAAGTCCAAATCAAAATTTTAAAAATTAGCATGTCAGTCAAAACTACATTAGTCAATATGTAGTTCCTGTGAACTGCTCTGAAATGATTGTAGTGGAACAATCGTTACAACTTGGAGTGGTTATTGACAATTTCTAATCACAATCTCAATTTTCTGCCTTTTTTTTGTTGTTGTTGTCACTGAGACTACTGCTCTTCTGATTTCGCAGTTTCAGTGTGTGCGAAATAATAAAAGGTTACGTGTCGTTCAAGTCCAAATCAAAACTTTAAAAATTAGCATTTCAGTCAAAACTACATAGGTCAAAACTAAAAATTAGAGTTACAGTTCTCTCCCGAGACCCTTCCGGATTCTGGAATCCGGAGAAATAACGCCTTTTATTTCTTCTCGGAAGGCTGGACACGTTACAGAGCTCTCCCGAGTTACAGTTTTCTCCCGAGACCCTTCCGGATTCTGGAAACCGGAGAAATAACGCTCTTATTTCTTCTCGGAAGGCTGGACACGTAACAGAGCAGTTCTTGTGACTTGCTCTGTAACGATTGTAGCGGAACAATCGTTACAACTCGGAGTGGTTTCTGACAACTTCTAATCACAACCTCAATCTTCTGCCGTTTTTTCGTTGTTGTTGTCACTGAGACTACTGTTGTTCTGATTTCGCAGTTTCAGTGTGTGCGAAATAAAAAAAGGTTACGCGTCTCCCACGTTCAAACGAAATTTTAAAAATTAGCATGTCAGTCAAAACTAACCCTTCCCGATTTGTCTGGTCGTTCCATTAACGTCACTAATTCATTAAAACCATTAATCTTCTCGGTTAGATGTTCCAATAAAATTCGAATGCGATATTGCATTTTGACCATTCTGTTCGAATGTCACACAAGGACGTGGACGTTAATCGCTAGAATCAACACATCGTCCGACAAAAGTGCTCAAAATAATTTTCGTTCATGTCATGCATTTTGGGGTCATTCTGGTCGAATATCGCATTGTAATCCCGGAACGGCCAGGGCCGAGGCGGAAGATCGTAAATCTGGCAAATATAGAGATTTAATTGATGATGGATCTATTTTTCAACCAATAGCTTTTGAAGTTATGGGTGCCGCCGGCTCTAGCTCTGAGATTTTTCTGAATATGTTTTGTATTCAGTTTTGAATAAGTTGAGCAAGTGCACCGAGGAACCAAGGGAAATTAGTTTTTAAAAGCAGAGTATAGGATATAAGTATATAAGTATAGGATTGACCCGCAGCCTCATATCAGGTCAGTCTGTTTGAGTCACATTCAACTCCGGTTTATTCTGTGCAGGTGTTAGTTTTCTTCGTTAATATTAACTATGATTCCAAACATCTGACTCTTCTATCCACATTATACTTTACTCTTCCATATCTAGAAAATTCCTAGGATTTTGATTGGGTGCCGCCGGCTCTAGCTCTGAGATTTTTCTGAATATGTTTTGTATTCAGTTTTGAATAAGTTGAGCAAGTGCACCGAGGAACCAAGGGCAATTAGTTTTTAAAAGCAGATTTTACAGGTTGCGAACGCTGCCTGTGTACTCGGAAAATTGAACTATTAATGTTAAAACTATTTGCGATGAAATTTTTTATTCATATAGCCAAGGGAACAAAACCCCAGCTTTATATAAGTATAGGATTGACCCGCAGCCTCATATCAGATCAGTCTGTTTGAGTCACATTCAACTCCGGTTTATTCTGTGCAGGTGTTAGTTTTCTTCGTTAATATTAACTATGATTCCAAACATCTGACTCTTCTATCCACATTATACTTTACTCTTGCATATCTACAAAATTCCTAGGATTTTGATTGGATAATGTTATGAAGGGACTCCTGACTGTTACCTCGGTTACTATGATACTTTTGACCTTTGATTAGAAAGTAAAAAAAAAACAAGAAATCTAAAAGCAACAAAAAAAGATATGCATTGTTCAAGTAGTAATACGAATAATATTATACCCCTTCGGTTCCGTACAATACACAATCTAAGGTGCTTAACTATAATTTACAACTCTGTGAGCGGTCACTTCAGGTCATATTTTCAGATCATCGATAAAACAAACATTTTGTTAATGTAGCTTCAGCTGCTAAGGTATCTCAGTAGAGATTTAATACGAGATGGCGAAACTATCAGATCTTGTCAATGGACCGGCGCACAATAATGAATCTCACGGACAACAGCACAACGGAAATGAAGCAAATTCTGGCATGGATACTAGCTCTGCCGTCGCACAGAACGCTCATGTATTGAATCCTTTTAATATCCCGAATTTAAACGTCAGTATTACATTGAATTTATTCATTTCAACAGATTCACCTATTGAATTTCCTCAATTCTAAATGTTGTTTAGATAACTGATGTCTGGGAGACAAATCTTGAGGAGATTTTTGCTAAAATACGAACTATCATTGATACTCACTACTATGTGGCAATGGACACCGAATTTCCAGGTGCGTTAAGTCTTTGAGGTTTTGCTTTTCTTAGTTATATCTTGGAATATTGGACAGAAAAATGTTTTTTCTTAAATGATTTTAGGTGTTGTCGCCCGGCCACAAGGTCAATTCAAAAGCCATTCCGATTACACGTATCAGAGTGTTAGGTGCAATGTGGAATTACTGAAAATCATTCAACTAGGTACGATTTTAAGAATTCAAGGATTATTTGAATGAAAAAAATATTTGCTCTATTACGTTTTTGGTGTAATAAACTTGTTTTACAGTTATTTGATTTGACCTGATGTTATTGATTAAATAGACGTTTCTGATTAAAAAGACTACTGATAAAATCAGAAAACCCTGATTGAATAATAAAAAAAACTAAATTACAAAAGAGGCCCTTCCGTTTAGTTACGGTAAGTGCACAAGCTGGATAGGGCCATACCAGCGTTATAAAAATGCATATATATCAGCAAGCTGTATCAATTTATCAATGAAGTCATAAATCAGCCTTAAATGCATCGTCGTAATGTTAATTTATCTTAGCCTTCCTTCCTCTACAATAGCGCTAATGGAGTTGTCGATAAATTGAACTTTGCGCAGCAATCTGAACCCCTTTATACATAGTATAGAGCTCCCCTGGAGCGCGAAGCTTATTTTAGTTCTTATGTAATTTATCGATTCTGGATAGCTTTCTTGTCTTTTTTCACTTAGATTTTCGGCTTATCGTTGCATCGTCTGCGTGGCTGTTGGAGCAGCGCCACCGGTGCATCCGAAAATTAACGGGCAGAAGCTACTCTGCTCTACGTTTAAAATTCTTTGCTGATAGTTGGAGTTCTTCAGCGTTTCGTGATATTCATATGCGTCTTTTTGCAGTTTTCGCGATGTTTTGGCATGGGGGTTAAAAATTTTCACATCAAAGAAAGCACGGCTAAATCGTGAACCCAAGAGTCCGTTTGCCTTAGTGTCAAGTCGTGCCTCATGTTCAGTTGTAGTTGAATTGTTGACACAGCTTTCGCCTTGCAACGGCTGAAGTTTCGGCTCAATCTCGACGTCATGGCAAACCTCGTTCATGAGGTTGGCGAATGTGTCTCTGATTTCATTGTGTCTTATGTGTGTGTAACCGCACTTTGCAGTGTAGCGCATGTCTCAAGTTAAAATTAGCACATCATGCACATGTGAGTGGTGTTTTGGTCGGTTCCCATCCGTATCTTAAGGAAATACCATCTCTGAATTCTGATTTATTCAGGTTGAAGTTATATCTGGTCAATGGTAAAGCGTTGAGCCAGTTAGACGCTCCTTTTTCAGAGGCCAGGTCGATTGCGTATTTATCTGTTTCATCTAAGGAGTTCATGAGGTTTGTTTTCTTTCGGTTTGTTCTATCAGTTTTCATTTTTCTGATTTTCGTACATACTTTTTCTTGCTGTGTTATTGCTGTAACAGGATCTTAGATTCCAGTACTAGTGATGTTTCCTTAGACCATTCTAGATAGCTTTCATGATCGGATGGCAGCTTGATGTTAAGGCCGCCCATTTTAAGGGGCAAGGAAGATATCTCACGGAACTGGGGTTCAATGTGTCTTTACCGATTAGGTTAGGTATTAATTGTTCTTTGATAATCTTTTCACATATTTCTAAGTTTTCCATAGTATTAGGCGTTGTCCTGGTAAGAAATGAAAGGTTTTCTTGAACTCCTATAGTATAGCAAGCATAAACGTTTTAGGGGAGGTTTTAGCGATTTTCGTTAATTTTTTCGAAATTTTGATTTGCTCCTTCTGTTGAAATTCGAGGAACTTTTGACGTTCAGATTCTGTTCCTATAACTGAACCAAGCACTCGGGCGCCTGCTTTTATAGTGATTCCTGTATTTTCGAAGATTTTCTCAGCTTCACCGAATTTTTCATCCTTGACAATGAGTTGGCATTTGGATGCTTTAACATGGTAGCCAAAAAGTTCACCTAATGATACAATTTTATCGAGGACGGTTCGTAGATTGCTTAAATTACCGACTGCGTCTCCGTCGTCTGCGTACCATTTTGGGTTACGTTGTCTACTGATAAAAGTTTTATGAGGGGTATTATGGCTAGACCGTACATGGCCATTGCTAGTGGATCCCCCTGTGTTGTCCCTTCTTGAGAATAGATGTTTTTTTTTGTTAACGAACAGTTTAGATGGATTTAGGAATTTTTAGTCGCGATTAAAAGATTAAAAGAGATGGGCAGGCGTTTTCGGCATCTATCAATAAAACAGCATCGGCGGAGGTTTTGCTGTATTGATCTCTTAGCGTGTGGATCGCATATTTAATGCCACATTTTTGTCCTAGACAGAGTTGATAGTTTGAACCGAGCGACATGAGTTCGTTTTTTAGGCATTTGGTTATTGTTCGTCCTATTATCCTACGCATAACTTCTCCTATGCCTATGAGTCTTACTCCTGGATTTTTATCTAAGGGTATTAATCTACATGCGTTATATGGTTCCAGTAGTTCTGGGTTTAGTTCTTCGGTAGCCAATTTTCTAGCTTTTTTAGCAATTATTTTTGAAATTTCAATTGATTGTTGCCCGAAGTGTGTTAAAATTCGTCTCCATTCATTTGCGTCCAGGCCAGATGGTCCATGAGATCCATGCGTTCCCATGGCTGCTTTCTTGATATGTTAACCGTTTATCTGATCAAATATGGATGGATGGAAGGGAATTGTTTCATTTGAGACTGGTGTAATATAGTTCTCATCAATTGGTTCAGATCGTGGGTCCTTTTCTACAAGAGTCTGTTCTACTGTCGTACCTTTCACGATCTCGTCGAGTGAAAGAACGCCTTTGGATGTGTTTGTTAGTTTTGCTATTGCGCTTGATATTTTACCAGTATTCATTAGTTTATTGAACTGTTGTGTTTCAGTTTTTCTTCTACTTTCTTTTGTCTAGCGCATTTGCAGCGCCTTCCCTTCGTTATATAGGCCATCCAGGTCTCCGTCTTGCCATTGCTTAAGTCGCCTTGCTATTGTCTTGGATAAAGATCCATCATTTTTGGACTTTGTTTTGCACAGTAGTAAGTGTGGAAAGATCATTGCTGCGTGCATTGCGAAGGTATTTTCGTCCTTTTCTATTAGGCTGTTCAGAGTTCTATTGAGGGTTTCAATGAAATTATAACCAACTTTATTTTTTGATAAGGTCATAAAGACCGGTTTTCAGTGGTTTCCAGTTGCACAGTAGTAAGTGTGGAAAGATCATTGCTGCGTGCCTTGCGAAGGTATTTTCGTTCTTTTCTATTAGGCTGTTCAGAGTTCTATTGAGGGTTTCAATGAAATTATAACCAACTTTATTTTTTGATAAGATCATAATGACCGGTTTCCAGTTTCACTTCGGAGTATATTTTTCTGGTGGCTTCTATGAGTTCTGGACAGGGGTTTGACCATGGGTCTTGTGTTGTTTTAGTTTGTAGAGTGGAGGGTTCTCTTGAGTTTTGTGAGTGTGGGGGTAGTGGAAGGGTGAGGATGAATTTGGGGGGGGGAGTGTGATTGTAGCTAGGGTTGAGGGATTCCATTCATGCGTGTCGTTAGCTGAATGAAATTGGGAGGTGCAGCGATGACAGCTGAAATCGTCATAATGATCCCTGCTGCGGGCTAGGCCGCTGCATTTTAAAACCATATAGCCTGGGCATGTGAAGCACCAAACACCTCCGCCTCGCAAGCTGTTTCTACAAATAAGGCGATGTGTTTGAGTAACCATTTCAGGAAGGACGGCGGTGTCAAGTTAGCGAGAGAATTTATAGATTATCCTTGCACGAAAATTAGTAAAGAAATCATTACCGTAGAACGAGAAATGGATGCCATCACGGCAGAACATTTGGGATGTTAGATTTAGGTTGAGGTTAGGTGAAACAATGAGTGTATGTGGGTGTACAAATCTATTCATCAAATTAAACAACACATGATGATGAATATAAATTTTGCTATTTATTTCAGTGTTATTACAGTTCTGAATTGTTTTGGGGATGATCAGTGTCTTGGGCTGAAACTTAGTGAAGAGGTTAATCAAGTTTTTCCACTGCTGTTCTAATTCTTGTGGATGCAGCCTGTTGTCATTGTATCCAGCAACTTTTGTACTGTATTTAGGCGCTTTGGTCTGTATTGCAAAACTGTTTCAAACAGATCATGAAGCGTTGCGCCGCGGTAGGAGTGAATTGTTGATTTTACTAGAGCTGGTTTGATATATTTGGTCCTTGAAGTCCCGATAACTAGTTTCTGGGAGAACTCAGGGATGCGTCTTGCCTGGAATCTCGGCATCTAACTGAAACACAGACAACTGGGGCGAGAAAGGAAGCTCTTTGGATTTATGAATACTTTCAATTAGCATTTAAAATTGGTTAGACAAGGGTGATGGAAAAAAGGAGTGGTACAACCTGACGTCGTTTTGGGGGTCGATTCACCGGCTCACTCCTTCTTGCGTCTAGTTACGTCAGGGAAACTTCACTCGCCTACGGCTCGGACGGCGAGATTTGGTAAGATAAGTCCGTGAGGAAAGCCCAGCGCATTTAAAATGAAATTACAGAGGTAAGTTTGAACAGACACACTATTTAATATTTTTATCACAATAATTAGGCTGTGATTTGAACCTGTTTATCACAACAATAGAAGTGATTTGAACCTGATGTTACTAAATGGTTAGCCCTTGTCGTACGAGGTATGTACAGATCTGGTTTTACAGTTTTTATCGTGGAATAAGCTTCAATATCCAATTAAGCATCTGATAGGACTTATTGCTCTTACGCTTTTATAGTTTGGTTTCTTCACTACATTAGTATTCGCATTTCATAGGTCAGGTTAAGTAGCAAGTATAGCTAAATTGTTACTTTGTATCATGGAGTACTGTTACTGGTTAGATCATTTTTTTTGTAATTGTTCCGACCATTGAAAATGGGCAGGAACTTTGTCTTCGACTGTGTAATAGGTTTATAACGAAGTATTAGGTTATAGGAAAGTCTGAAAAAATTTCCACGCTTAGTTTTGATTTTTCTTGGTTTGACTTAGGGTTAGCTAAGTGTAAAGGTCACTAAAAACGTGATCAACTTCTAGTTTCGAAAGTGGAATTTAATTATCAGATTTCCCAGCGAAAGAAAAATTTTACTTATTGATCCATTTTTCTCAAATTGGGTTAATTTTATTGTTTTTGAAATTTTAAAGAGCTTTAAAGCCATCTATTTTTTCTTCGCAATTCGAAAGTTCAGGTGGAAAAAAAAACGTATCAGTTTTTTGTTTCCTTCCGTTCATTACTCATGTCCAACTGTTATTTGGCTATGTTTTACTAATACAAACCTCGAGCTAAGTGTTAGCTAAGTGTAAAGGTCACTAAAAACGTGATCAACTTCTAGTTTCGAAAGTGGAATTTAATTATCAGATTTCCCAGCGAAAGAAAAATTTTACTTATTGATCCATTTTTCTCAAATTGGGTTAGTTTTATTGTTTTTGAAATTTTAAAGAGCTTTAAAGCCATCTATTTTTTCTTCGCAATTCGAAAGTTGAGGTTGAAAAAAAAACGTGTCAGTTTTTTGTTTCCTTCCGTTCATTACTCATGTCCAACTGTTATTTGGCTATGTTTTACTAATACAAACCCCGAATGAAAACCGAAACAATTTGAAAACGTTTTTTTTTTGTTGTGGTTGTTGTTGTGGCCTCGTCTCCTCAATAGGCAGCGGGTTTCGTTTCTTTTGTTATATTTTGTCTCCGGAGGAGATGAAGGTTTGTTTGAGGTAGTTTCGTCTCGTCCACAGTCCAGTTTGGTTTGACCCCCGACGGGATATTTAGGGCATACCTTATTTGAGTGTTTCTTGAACCTCGTTTTGACACTGGGCTTCGTTTTGCTGTGCTACTGTGAGGTCAGCATCTTCCGGCTCGCTAATTATTTCTTGGAGGAAGTTGAGCTCTCTCGCTCCACCGTGCTATATGAGCTGAAGAAATTCAGCTACAATTTCTGTGTTACTTAAACAGCAATCGTGCTATCCTTGTTCAGCTTTTGTTTAGCAAAAACTTTTCAATGGATACTTGATACCTATTACTTGTGTTCGATTTGCTGGGGCGTTAATGGAGCACTGTCAAAAATGATTGTATGCTTAATCAAACTTAGCTAACAGTATAGAGCTCTCTAGTATCCCAATTTCTGTGCTTTAGATTGTTTTAGAAACATTGATTTTTAAGGGGGCCTACTTGAGTTAAAATGTATTAGTCAATAAAGATGCAACTATTAAATTCTAAGCTTGGAATGGAAATGAACTGGACGCTAGACTGGAAAGGAAACTTTGATTTTCACTTTGCTTTAAAAAAATCAATAAGGCAATCTTTCCTTTGCCAGATGAAATATTAGATCACAACCTGCTCAGGATGGCCATAGTCATTATCGCTAAGTCGTAAAGTATGATTCAGTCTATTATTTTTTATCCGTTGCTTTCATTCACCTTTACAGCTTTTTGATAGCATGCGTTTTGGCGTTCGAATAATAATAAGTTAACGCAGTTGATACCTTTTAAACTCATCAAATGAACCGAAAAAAGCTATTTGTTTCTAACAAAATAACAAAAACTCTATTTGAGAATTTTTCGAAATTCATTATATCGTATTGTTTTCAAAATGAATAATTTATACATAATGTGGCTTGCTTTCCAATTTTTTACATGCAAAATTAGTGTGGATGCCTTCAGTTTGTTATATTCCTAAGTATTTGCTGCAAATTTGCGTGTATTTGTATCTGGTGGCTAGTATTCATGGCTAGTGTTTGTGAAGGACTGAGCGTCCGTGGCTGATGGTTAGAGACTCTTACTTTTTATGTCGCAGTAGGTCGTAGGTTCGAATCCGAGACGTCGCTGATTTTTTACTAAATCGATGCTTATTTTTACTTATTCTTATTGCGTTTTTTAGAAATCTAGAGGTGCTTTTTGTCGTTTTCTGGTTAGTGTCAGCGACACGAAGCTTCGCCTCTGCGTAGACTCTCGGCGACAAAGGGTTGTTTTTTGTTTTGGTTGGGTTAGGAGTTTCATTTAGTCACTAGTCCAGTGTAAGCGCCCCCCCCCCCCTCGACGGGATAAGCCAGCATTCTCCGTTATGCCGTTAGGCGCTTTTCGGAAAATAATGACCAAAAAATCGCGTTTTTTTTGGCGCGCTCCCGCCCCCCTCAAAGTTCGTATAAGTTCGTATATTTTAGAAAAATTGTAGGATCAGCCTGCCAAAAATGAATATCTCAAAATAGTACAAAGGGGAGACCCTTTGGGTCAGTAAGGGGTCGAATCCCTGAGGGGAGGGGCGTCCGCTCCCCCCTAAATCTGCCCCTGAAAATGATCACAGTTAATTACACTTTTGATTATCGAATGTTATCAAATCGGGTACTTCAATTTTAAATGTTGATAAAAGAATTGTATTGTCACTTATTTGGTTTTTTGCTTCATTTTTTTCATGAAAAAGTCTCACAAAATGTTGTTCACGCTCAAATTAGTTTTAAGAGTTTTTTAAAATTATTTTTCAGTTCAATTCAAAATCATTAGCCAAGAAGTGGGCAAACGAAGTTCTCCAGTCACAAAAGTTGAAAAGGAGCAAAAAATACTTGAAGGACTTAGTTTAAAGATTGTACTAAAGTTTTAGAATTTCAAGTGGAATAAAAAATTATTTGATTCTTTTTTCTCTAATTGGGTAAATTTACAAGGTAAAAAATTACTTGCATACAAACAATTTGTCGAGTTTGGGTAATTTAAAAGCAGGGGTGGATCTAGGATTTTCTCGAGGGGGGATTAGATTCTAGTTGACCTTTTTTTAGGTCGACCATCTTGATTTTCTGAGCTCTCCCAAATTATAAAGATCCTACTTTGACATAATTTTTTGCACAGCAGGCAAATTTTTGAAAACAAAAACAGGTAAAAAAAGACATTTTAAGGCATTTTTGGAAGTTTTGATTCTTCTCTCAACATTATTATATTTTGGAGCCGAAGGCGACTTCAGAAAAATTCAGGCGACTTCAGCTACTGAGAAAAAGATAAGTTAAGTGGAGTGTTTGGGTGTAGCCCTTCGGTGTTTGATTTCAGAGCATTTGATCGGCTGGCGGGCGTTTTTTTTTTTCAAATTTAAGATTGCTATTTAGATTGTTTCAGGCCTGGCGTTCTTCAACGAAGCTGGAGAGCTGCACTCTTGCTACCAGTTCAATTTCAAATTTGACATCCAGCACGACATGTTCGCCAAGGACTCCATAGATCTTCTTCAGGTTCCTTGCTTCTCACAATACTAAAAGTATTTTCAGCGCTTAACAAATTAAATTTAAATTAAACGCTGAGGTGGAGCATCTTAACTTGGTCTATTGGTTGGTGGAATTGTTAACTTGGTCCTAATTGAGACAGAATTTACTGAATAATTTTTGTTGAGAAACAATAATAAGCACAGCTAATCGGTTTGGCAATATATCTTTGCCAATTTATCTTTGGTTTAAATTGTCATAGAGAAAAAACACTGAAATTGAATTTCTTTTAACAATTTGAAGTAGTCGAAGCGGCTCAACGTTAAAGGGAGTAAACATAATTGGGCTTCCAAATTCTTCTGGTTTTCAAGTTGAAGCTATTTTTCTATGAAGATATTGTTAGTTATCAGTTTTCAATGTTGAATTTTCCTCGTTTTTTGGCATGGAAAAAAGTGCTTCTAGGATGGTTGCTCATGTCTTTAAATTTGTTTTTTTTTAACAGTACACAGTATATCTCAGCCAAAAATTATGTCATTTGATTGGAGTTTTTGAAACCTTCGTAGCTTTTACATAATGGTTACATAAGTTATATTACACATGCGAAGCGAGTGTATTAGTGCGAACCTTTTTTTTCCAACCTAAGTCGCAAATAAAAGTGCTTTTTTGTTGGCACTTTGAACGGTAGGCTGCTGTAGCAGTAGAATGTCATATTTGCTTCAAAATTTGATTAGTAAGAAATTAACACAGATGATGCAGTTTTACTTTCTCAAATGAACCGAAAAAAGTTAGTTAGTTCAAACAGCATCTCAATGATAAAAAGCTCGATTTCAGAAATTTTCCAACTCTGGATCTCGCAATTTTTCTGAAATGCATAATCATAAATAATTTGGCTTTATGCTTTCCAATTTATTACATGCAAAATTGTCTCTTTTTGTATTTATGCTAATTTTGCTGCATCGAATTGGCAATTTATTAGCATATGTAGCTGCGTTATTGGTGGCTAGTTTTTGGTGACTTTAATCATCTGTGGTTAGTTCTTGAGACTATTTGCTAGGTTGCAGATTCGAATCCTACACGTAGCCAAGTTTTTGCTAATTCGAGTCTTATTTGTTTTTTTCTTATTTCACTTGATAGCTGCTTTTTGGTCGTGTTCTCGCAGGTGTTTGCGCAGCGCATCTTCGCCTCTGTGTTTAAATTTTACTTACTTTAGGCTGTGTAACGTGGTAGCTGGTTAATAACGCGTCTGGTTTATATACAACTTTTGATACGTAGTAGTTGATTTTCAATTTGAGCTTGAAATATATAAGACTCTTACGTAGGTCGTGATGACTTTTTTCGTTTTTTAGGAAAAGTTTTAAAATTAGATTCGGCTCAAATTTATTTTAAAAGGAAGCTAAACTCAACTATCGAACTGCAAAAGTGTAAAGATCACAAAAACGTGATCGACTTCTAATTTCCAAAGTGGAATTTATATTTCAGATTTCTCAGAAATAAAAACTTTACTTATTGATCCCGTTTTTTCAAATAGGGTTAATTTTTTCAAGAAAGTTACAATCATAATTTGCTCTTGAAATTCAAAGAACTTTAATGGTATCCATTTTTTTCTTCGAAATTTGAAAGTTGAGATGTTTTTGAAAAACAAGTCAGTGTTTGTTAAATAAATAAATATTAAGAGTCGATGAACGTAGTTCAGACTCTTACGTAGGTCGTGATGACTTTTTAAGTTTTTTTTGAGGAAAAGTTTTTAAATTTGTTTCAGCTCAAATTTCTCTTTAAAAGGAAGGTAAACTCCACTATCGAACAGCAAAAGTGTAAAGGTCACAAAAACGTGATCGACTTCTAATTTCGAAAGTTGAATTTAATTTTCAGATTTCTCAGAGAAATATAACTTTATTTATTGATCCAGTTTTTTCTAATTGGGTTTTTTTTTCAAAAAGTTCCAATCATAAATTGTTCTAGAAATTCAAAGAGCTTGAAGGGTATCCATTTTTTTCTTCGAAATTTGAGAATTTTTCAACAAAGTGTGTTTTTTATGTTTACTTGCGTTCATTACTCTTTTCCAATCTTCAATTGGCTATGTTTAATAAGGTTTCAATTTGAGATAGCTTTAAGGTTTCGAAAATCATTCTGTAAACCGTTAATTTTTGTACTCTTGACGCTCCTCCCAGTAAATTATAGGCCGTTCTTGGCTGAAACTTGGCTATAAGTTTTTGGCTACAAATATTTTGACTGGAGAAAGCCAATTGTTTTCCGTTCAAGTTTTTGTAACTGAAAGTTGGTCAATTTCTATATTTTACTTTTTCAGAGTTATCAGTTTTATTAGCTGAATAATGAAGCATTGTGTAAAATATTTGTTCTTATCAAAAAAAAATAACTACCAATTCAAAATTGAACGGTAATTTATGTGCTTAAGAAATTCTTTTTTACGATATTTTTTAGTGGTTCGTTATTCAAAGTAACTAAATATGTCCAAAAGTTGCAAGTGCTAATTTCAAATAATGTAATGCATGTGCATTGTAATCAAAGAAGTCACGAGCTTCCATATTTTTTGCTTTTTCATAAGTAATTGACAATTTCTTTTTAAATATTCAGACCATGTCCTGCTTGCGGCGGATATGTTTCATTATACGAAAAAACTAATGATTGAGTTTTGGTATATTTATAACAGTACAGATAGATTTCACGTTAATGTTTCATTTCTCGTTTGTGTGAATCTTTTTCTTTTTAATATTTTTTTTTTAGTTTAGATCACATCAGAAAGGAAGATGAAATATGCCGTAGGTTGCGTTTTTTCCTGCGTATTATGAATCTCAAGGCAAATTCGTTGGGGTTCAAAATGGTACCATTTTAAAGTCTTATAATGCATATTAAGATTAAAGCATTTCAATGTTTTTTTTTCTGAAAAATCTATCTATTATATATTTAAATACGGGCTTCACTATCTCGCCATGTGTAAGCTTTTTCAACGTATTATTTTTGCATGTTTAAGCTAAATCGTATATTGCAATGCTTAAGATTTTTTTTTAGAATTTTCGAATTTTAATTCAGTGTTTATTTCATCAAGTTTGAAATTAGCAACTCAATAGTGGGATGCTGTTAGGTTTCTCCCAGCTTTTGTGACTCTGGCTCCATATATGAATAACCAATCTTTTTAGTTTACGAGATACGGTAATTTTCGAGATTTTTCATAAATTTCTAGAAAATTTAATTTAAAAAAGTTTTTGAAATTCTCACCCTGTAATTGGGTGCTGTCAGGGTACTCTCAGGTGTAGTGAATCTTGCCTCTAAATCTCTTTTCTCAAATCTTTAGTTTTCGAGATATGACGTTTTTTTGTGACTTTTTCAAAAATTTTCAAAAAACTTAGATTTTAAAAAATTCCAAAACTTGGAAGGTCTCAATCCTGTTTTTGGAAACTGTGAGGGTACTGTCAGGGGTTGCGAATCTTGCCTCTGAATATGACTGCGCAAATCCTTGTGCTTATCGATATATGGCGTTTTTTTGGATTTTTCCAAAAATTTTCAGAGAACTTAGATATAAAAAATTTCACAAGTCTCATCTTTATATTGAGGCCCTGACAGGGTTTTCTCACGAGTTGCGAATCTTGCAGCCAAATTTCACTTCTCAAATCTTTGTACTTTTCCAGAAATGACGTTTTTGGTGATTTTTTTCAAAACTTAAATTAAAACTCTCAGAGTAATCTCAGGGGTCTATAAGGCATCCTAATCTTTTTTTTAACCAGATACAACAATTTTTCCTGTGTTTTTCAGTAATTTTCAGAAAACTCAAATTTCAGAATAATTCACAAAATTGAAATTCCCAACCCTGTACTTGTATGCTGTCAGAGTACTTGTATGCTGTACTTGGATGCTGTTTTTCTTAAAAATTTGAAGTTCCTTACGTTGTAGTTGAGTACTGTAAGTGTACTCTCAGGAGTTACAAATCTTGCGTTCAAATGCAACTGCTCAATTGCTTTTAGTTTTCGAGATGTGACGTTTCTTAGTTTATTTTAAATTTTGTCAAAGAATTTTTATAATACTTCACAAAATTTTATGGTTTTTCAAAATTTGTAGTAATAAAACTTGAATAAAAAGTTTTGCGAAATTTGTAATATCGAACCCTGTAATTGTGTGCTGTTAGAGTTCACTCAAAGGATGCAGATCTTATTTCCAATATATGCGGTTCTATATGAGTTATTAAAAATTCGAAGCACCGGAGGTAGTATTAATAATTTAGGTCATCATTCAAGTGTTATCTGATTTGCTTGTATTTAATTTGATGGTTGAGGGCCGATATTTCAACAGCTTTTATTTGAAGGTATTAAACGTCAAACGTTTCTGCTGAAGTTAATGATTTCTAGCGCCAAAACCAATTTTGGTTGTTTTATTGATGCTTGGGGTTCTTGGAAGCCTCTTTGATTTTTCAAATTTTTCGGCTAAATTGTCACAACAAATTTTGCTTGTGCTGTAGACAATTGTCATTGTAGTTGCATGTGCAAGTGTTGTTTCATCTAATTGGGGGGAGGGGTCGAAAGATTTTCATAAATTTTAGTTTTGGTTCAGTTCTGCTGAAAGGTTGTCGGCTTAGTTGCCACATCTTTGATTTTCCTTGTGCTGTAAACAACTTTCATTGTAATTGCAAGTGCAAGTGTTCCATTGCGTTTTAAGCTGGGACTTTTTTTTATAAAATCATATTTTTTTCGGCTCAACTTGTGTCTGCTCAAAGATTGTCGGCTTTGTTTCTTTTCGTAAATTTCGTTCCGTTGTTGCTGTTTTAAAATTCAACTGTCTGGAATGTTTGCCTGTAATGAACTTCTATCGAGACATATGAAAGCTTATGTGACCTAGTTTTTTTTAAAAAATTTTTCATTTTTTTCGGCTTTTTGTGTTTTTTTTATGTTTGTATTGTATCGCAAGTTTCGCTTCGCCTCTGTTTAAAATTAACTCATCAATAATCTATCGGTGAAATTTTGATTTCTCAATAGAGTTGCGGACCTTCAAATTCCTTTGTGGAATGAGGTTAAGTCCAAAATTTTTTGTAATTAAGATTTTTCGACTTTTATCTTCCTGTATTTTTTCATCCTGAATCTGCGTTATCTTTTTTTAGCTCCTTTTGTTGGATTTTACTAGTCATTTTAAACAGGATTCTTTTGCAGAAAGAAAATATCGTTGTTTTTCAGAAAAATCTGGATTAAGAGGGTAAAAATTGATTTTTTTTTGTAAATGTTATATAATTGTGACGAGTAGTTTTTTTGTGTTTCAGACTTCTGGCATCCAGTTCAGTCGCCTCTCCGAAGACGGTGTTGACATACTACACTTTGCTGAACTCCTCATGGTATGTTTCTACTTTAAACTTAAACATAACTTGGTATCGAGGAACATAACGTTGTGGTGAGGCATTGGCTTTGAGATGGTCAGATCGTTTATTCGATCCCCTATGGACGAGCTCTCATATGAAGTTTAGCTTCAGGTATATCATATCCTGGTCGATTTCTGCTTAGGATGTGGCATTACATGCGAGTTCTACACATAACTCGCTTAAATGTCTGAAATACTGATAAATAATGGATCCAGACTATAACGTAGACAGGCGCAACAGCCTTAGCTAGATCTTTAGCTACTAGCAGGAACCAAGGTATTTTTAGAGCTTACTTCACTAGAAATTTTAGATCTGTTTTAAGTGTCAATTAAAGCAGTGAAAATACTTATAAAGTTTGCATTGATTTTTTAAGACTAATGAGCGTAGTGAAGACTCTTATATAGGTCTTGCTGATTTTTTTTTGTTTTTTTTTTCAGGGAAAGTCTTTGAATTCTCTAATAACTACAGATGTGCATTCATGCATATTGATGCATGCATTTATGAATGCACTTAGGTATATATGCGCTTTTTGAGTTCAATTGAAGTTCATCTGCTGAAAGTGACGTAAATAGCTTTCTCCAAATACGACCGTGGAAATGGCGCGAAAAAACGAACAATTTCTAGTTTCGAAAGGGGAATTTATTTTTAGTTTTCCAGCGGAATAAAAAACTTTACCTGTTGATCCAGTTTTCTCAAGTCGGGTTAATTTTATCAAAATCCTAAATCGTTCTAGAAATTTAAAGAGCTTGATGGGCATCTCTTTTTTTTTCTGTCGAGAGGTGAGATTTTTTCAAGAAAGTCAGTGTTTTTTATGTTCACTTGCGTGCATTACTCTTTTCCAATCTTCGGTTGGCTATATTTTCACAATTTTCAAAAGATGTTCACGCTCAATTTGATTTTTTTTGCCGTTTGACTTCTTTTGCAGAGCAAGCGTTATCAAACTGGAACATAGACTTTTTTCGGGTTTACAACTTGCTTAACAGAATCACTAGAAATACTTGTATCATGACTGTTTCTTAATGAATTCAAAATTTTAAGTTTTGTCGGCTTAGTTGCCACATCGTAGAATTGATTTTTTGGAAGCAATTTTCAATGTAGTAGCTTTTAGAATTCCGAATTACTCCTGCGATTTTAATTTTACTAGCCTTGACTTGCTGTTTTTGTTTTTTTTTCGCTTAAGAATTTCATTCGGCTTAAATAATTTCGACTTATATTTAACTGGCTTAGGGACCTAATTTGAGGGCATTTAAAAGGAAGCTTAAGGTTTATGCTTCATTCCGGATCGCACAAAATGCTAAAATGCTAGAATAGAAATTATAGTTCAAAGTTTTTTTATGACAACATTTATATTTTCGTTTCTTCGGGAAATTATTCAAATTTCGTCGGCTCAGTTGGCACTTATTAATTATTTTTTGAATTTTCATCAATTTCGTCGATTGTGTTTCTGGACGCGTTTTCCGCAAATAGAACATGATTTTAGGCAACATTTTGAATTTATTTTGTTTTTTCTCCCTTTTTTGGACTTAGTCGCTTTCTTTTCCTGACTGCTAGCGTGCACTGCTATTTTAATGTTGTGTTGCAAGTGGCGCGAAGCTCCGCTTCGCCTCTGTGTTCTAAGTTAAATCAAAGTCATACAGATTTTCAAAAACTAAATTCAAATCATTGCTAAATGAAGGCAATTTACGCTTTCGAACTACGAAATTGCAGTTGGCGCGCAAAATTATGAATGACCTGTTATCTGAAATTGTGGTAATTTGATGAAAAAAATTCAATTGTAATTTTCTTGAATTTTGAAAATCGTTAACGTCAATTATTATTTTTTCAAAATTCGCAAGTTGGAAAATGCTTAAAAATAAGACAATTGTTTTTTTTTTTCGTTTTACTTAATTATATTGACTTTTTTCCTGCTGTATTTTGGCCACTTTTCCAGTAGTCGTTATATTTGATTCAAGTTCTGTAACAATCATTTCATTTCAAGTGGTTGTTGTTTGATCAGTTGAGCTTTAGTTATGGGTCTTTTCTGTTATTTGTTGATGGAGCTTTTGTTTTGAGAGCCAAGATAATCTTTAGCTGGGAATAATTTGAACCAATCAGATTCGTGCATGTGATCCAGTTTACAAAATATGAAAATTATCAGTTTTGGGGCCGTATAACAGAAAAGACAGCTAGTGTTTTTCCAGGTGAGTGGGCTAGTGCTAGTAGACAGCGTGAAGTGGATCTCTTTCCACTCGAGTTACGACTACGGATACCTTCTGAAGCTCCTCTGCAACCGCAGTCTGCCGGAGACAGAGGACCAGTTCTACTCCCTCCTCCAGATATACTTCCCACTCATTTACGACGTCAAATTCCTCATGAAGAGCTGCAAGGCACTTAAAGGTGCTTGAGCGCTAGCTTTTATTGATTATCATTGAGATGATTTATCCTCAAGCAAAAAGACCAAAATACGAGCTGTTTAGATCACCACTGAGAACCGTTGTTGACCCCTGCTTAAGAATTACATGCTCTCTTTTTCTAACAGGCGACAATTCTAACGAGCGACAATTCGTAACAGTAGATTAAGCAGGCAACACAGATTCTAGCGCAGTATTCTTCTCGTGCCGGATGTAAGCGCAGCGGAGCAAGCGTATTCTACTTGGCAATGCCTTGTTACGAATTGTCGCCTGTTACGAATTGTCGCCTGTTACGAATTGTCGCCTGTTACGAATTGTCGCCCTACCCTTTTTTCATGCAATTGTAATTCGGCGTCTTGCAAATTTACATAAGACAGTAATGTGCAAATGAGTGGTGGATCGTACACTAGCTTTTTTAGCTGTGGAATCCAAGACAGAGATAAAATATGGCTTGCCCGTCGTGAATTCCCTTGAACTTTTTGCCTTGACATATTATATTATTTTGACATAGTATCCATGGTCTAATACCTTGATCATTTGCGCACTTTAATTGGAAGTTATACCAAATCAATTGTTATTAGAGAAACTGCGCGATGATATTTTCATAATGCATAACTGTTTTTTAATGGAAGTTTTTGTTTATGTGGAGTACCACAACTAGTATGAGATATACTGCTTCTGATGATTAAAATAATATCCTGAGTAAAAATCTTGGTTAATTATTTTGAGCATTGAAATCAGCTAACATTATTATTGGAAGCTCTAGTTACTGATATAAATGAAGTCTTTTCAAAAGGTTTGTAAAAACTTTGAGGACATCTGCCATGAGCCAGTTCCACAGCAGGTGTAGATTAGTTGATGCTCTAGTTATGGGAGAACGTTTATATCTATCTTGGTCGGTTTCTTCCAATTCGAAGACCCCCTTGCGACAAAGGAATTAAATTTCATTAATTGCATGTCACTCAAAACAAGTGCTTTTTAAAATTAGTCTAAGAATGGGGTTTATTCTAGTATTGTGTGAACGAGCTTTTCATTCGCTTTTTTTAGTAAGTCTAAATTTCCGAAATCGGTTTCTGTTGGAAAATTATTTAGTTACAAATTTTCAAGTTACGTTGCAGTGAGTAGACATTCGCATAAGTAGACAGGTAAGTAAGCAGACAAATATTTTATTATCCAATCAGAATTGAATTAAGAAAAACAAGCTTATGCTAGAATAAAATAGGGTTTGTCTTATTAACTTACTGACTATTATGAATACGCAGTTGCCTAAGTACAGAACGCACTTCCCTGAAATTGAACTGTTTTTTTTTTTAATATATTTAATCTAAAGTTTATTTGTCGCTGTGCAACTATTGATGATTAATTTCTAGCCTAACATTTTGTTAGTACATCAACTGGTCTCGTTGCATATTCCTTTCACATTTTCAGGCCAAAGAATGTCATCATTGCGTCGTTTAGTTTCAAAGTTAGAATATATTATTTCCGTCCACTGTGAGTTTTTTTATTTGGCTGAATTTTTTGGGTATATCTTTGTTTGTGGATCAAACTCATTCTTCGTTTTAACTCTGTAATGTTTTCTCAGGTGGCTTGTCTGACATTGGCGAGCAACTGGATGTGGCCAGAATCGGACCAGAGCACCAGGCAGGCAGTGACAGTATCCTCACTGCTATGATTTTCTTCAAAATGGTTAAGGTCAGTAACAGTTTTCTCTATCGTATCATGGCATCAACAATTGGATCTCTCTTACTATCCTATCCCCCCAGGGTACCTAGTGACGAATCCCACTCCCCTATAAAGAAATTGTTCAACGGTTGAGCATATGAAATTTTGATCCTAGTAACGAATTGCCACCCGCATAAAGAAATAATTCAATGTTCAAGCATATATAATTTTTGTACCTAGTTACGAATCCCCCCATAGGGGTTAATTGTTAAAGAATTCCCAAAAATTGATTGAATATTTTTGTAGTTTGAAGGGAGATGAGTTGGGACTATGGAATTCATGACAATTTTGCGGAAAAAGGGATTTACTTGGCTTCTATGGAAGAAAAGGAAAAACAAATCGAGCCTGTCCCCCCGAGTATAATTAAGTGTTAATGATCGAATTGTTTTTATCACTAATTTAGGTTACTCTAATATATTTGGAGAGTATTTTTCGGAGTAAATCATAATGATGTTTACTCTCAAATTTGATTTTTCAAAGTTTGATTTTTTTCGAGTTCAATTAAATTTACTTGCTAAACGGATGAAACATTAATCACAAAACAATCTCCGACTTTTGATCTCAATTTCAGTTTTTGTGTTTGGTTTTGTTGCTAATGGCGATTTAATAACTAGTGAAGACAACCGACTTGAACTCCGCAAATTCGTTTTTATTTTTCAAAGCTTACTTAATTTTTGATGTAATTTTTACCAATTTTTGAAACTGTTTTTACTAGTGTTTACGGAGTGCAGTTTCAATAATGTGTAAATTTTTTAAATTAAAACAGGATAGTGGTCGACGAAAGTTTTGTTTACGGGTTTTGCTTGAATTCATTACTTCTTTTCCCACTGTGTATTGGGAGCTTTTTTCGCTGAATAGTGTTTTTATGTTTTCTGTGTTAAAGGTTTACTTCGAGGACCATTTGGACGATGACCAGTATGCTGGACAGCTGTTCGGCCTCGGAGCCAACAAGTGAAGAGAACCAAAGCGAATCAGCTGCACTGTGCAATGGTAGAAAAGCTCGGTTTGCCGAAGATATCTTAGTCGTGTTTCAAAAGTTTAAATTTATCCTAGAATCCATGCGATTCATTATGAAATTTTGCAAAAATTTGTTAATGGTATAACTAAATTATAACAGCAGTTATTACAGCAGTTTTATGCTTTCAGTTTTTGGTGAAAATTGAAAAAAAAATGAGTTTTTTTTAATTGGCAACTTGAAGCTTCGGCAATCGCGATGCATCCTGACCAGAATAAAACAATCTTTTTCTCATGATATCTGCAGTATGGGAAAGATTAAAGATGTAAATTTCATTCGGGCGATGAATTATTTGTTTCGTGGATTTTAATTGAACTTGGAGCGAGTTTGATCTTGATTGGGTGTCCTAGTTCCACATTAGATGAGTCACAATGCTAAAAATTAAGAAGCCTTAAAAATCATAAATTATGTCTTTGAAAAATTCTCATATCTCTTACTTAATTTTCTACATTTGTAGATTGTGAAAGATTGGAATAATCATCTGTTTAGTAGGAAGAAGAGTTTCGTATTTTTTAGCATTGTTATAATGTGATTACCATGTAATATGAAGCTCTTCGAAATCAGATTTAGACAAGCTCATATTTTAACTTGTCACGAATTGAACTTTGTTTTAGTCTAATCTGTTTCATTTTTGATAGGAGAAATTAATAAGTGAAGGAGTTTAAGTCCCTGCTGGTTAAGGAGACTAGAGTTTCTGAAAGTGCAATCAATGAAAGAAATTCATCGAGATTATTCAGTAACATTTTAAATGTTCCTCAAAGCGAAAACTACACAAAATTCATAAAGAAGCAAAAAAAAATGTAAGGATGATTATAAATTAAGTCACTTTTCAATTTTTTTCAGAGTTGTTTATGCGTACACGTCCCGTGTTAGTCAGTATCATGTGTGATGTAACACCAAAAAATAGAGGTTGTTCTGTGTGCGATATCTACTTGTGATATCTTCCCGATGACGTCACTGTACTTGAGTCCAAATGCGGGACACCTGCTCGACCTCTTGTTCGACTCTTCCAAGTGAGTACGCAGGATGACATTATAGGATGACGTCATTAGTTTACGAACATTTCGTAAAAACCGGAGAAGCCATCATGCACGAAGGACGGAATTTGCGAAAATGTTGTCAGTCAAGTAGAATGCATTATTTAAAATTTCGATGAAAATAAGCAATATACCATAAAACCGGTCATTTTTGGACAGTTAAAAGGCATTGATTGGCTGACAATTTTCACGCACTCGTTCGTTCGAGCTTGAGAATAGCCCCCGTAAGTATCAACTGAGGCTCAGTTGTTTGGCTAGCATCCACTGCTTGATTGCAAAGGCAGGAAAAAAGTTGAATTTGATTGATCGAAATTATGTTTAAAACCCGCTAATTATTAGCTTATTCTGATTGCTCAACCGTCATAAGAGATTTAATCTGAATCATGGGTTGATGTAGGATTTTCTGGAGGGAGTGGGGTCGAAAATCTTGAAGAATCCAAATTTTTCAGAGCATTGAAGTCTTTTCTGTTATGCGGCCAAAAATTACCTAAACTTTGAATGAGTTAATTCAAGAGCTGGTTAAGCTTCAGATTTTCTTTGCATTTGCTATTTTTATTCAATCAGAATCAAGCCTTATGATCCAATTTTCAATATAACAAAACGATGAATTTCGGGACGTATAGCAGAAGAGATCCCGAAAAACGCTGACAGAAAAGCTTGCGAATCTTCAAAGAAACATTTTGAATTAAATGAGCTTCGAAGTCAAGAATAATTTTTAAAAATTGAAACGTGTTTGCACTAGCCAGAAGCGTAGTGTAGCAGTACGAACGTTTTTTTTTCTAAGCTGAATTGTTCCCATATTTGGTGGCCTTTTTGGCTATAATCACGATTTGTGGCATTGGAAATTTCATAGCATCTGTTTTCTGCTTTATTTGTGACTACTGTTTGTGATTTATTAAGCGTCCGTGGCTGAGTGGTTAGGTTTCTAGCGTGATCTCCGGATCGCTCATCGAATCCGAAACGTAGCCCAATTTTTACTAATTCGGGTCTCAATTCGACTTTTTCTTATTACACTTTATAGAGCTGCTTTTTGTCTTGTTCTCGTTAGTGTTTGCCAAGCGAAGCTTCGACTTTATGTCAATATGTTTTGTGATGATCTATAACGGCGATGCATCAACCAAAAAATGTCAGTTCCTAAATGGTTGAAAGGCTGAATCAATGTCTAAAACGCTGCAAATACTATGACAATAAAACAGGGGAAAAAGTTAAGGTTCATTAGCAGGGGAGAGCATGAATACCAAAAACTCAATTTATGAGCTGCTTAGAATGAAATGGGCTTTTAATTGCCTTTAGGCTTCTAATTAAAATAAAAATAGTTTTCAAAATAGATGAAAAATTAAAATGAAATTAGGTTTATAAATAGGTAAAAATATTTTTAAAAGTTAAATTAAAAATATGTGTTGAATTAAAAAAAGTATTAGTCATAGGTAAAAATGTTTTTAATAATTTGGAATAAAAATAGGTATAATAAAAATAGGTTTAAAAATTGGTAAACATTTTTTAAAATTAAAATGAAAATAGGTTTTAAAATAAAAATAATTTGAACTATACGTAAAAAATGTTTTGAAAACTTGGAATAAAAATAGGTATAATAAAATTATTATAAAAAATTGGATTAAAAATAAAAATGAAAAATATGTTTCAGGAGTATGCGTCGGTACTTTTAATTAAAAATGTAAAAACAAGATACCAATTGTGTGTTGCAGAAAGGTGAACAGAGAGGCTGAGCTGCAGTTATGCAACAGGAGCTTACCCCAATCTTTTTTCACAGAACCAGGCAGCACACAGTCATGTGAAAACCAGTTCAACAACGGTGAGCAGCCATAATATTCTCTTGATTTTACTAGTTTCTTTATTTTTTGCCCCTAAAATGTTCGGTCAAGCACTCAACAAAAAGGACTTGGTTATGCAATTTTTACTCAAGTCGCACATTTTAGTTCAAATTCTATCAAAATAATTCATTTCATTTTGATGTCAATAGAATTTTTCACTACGTGTTGATTTTATTACATAAAAAAGAACTTCTTAGTGCTAAATGAAAGGCAAATTACGATTTCCTAAGTTTAAGGGCTCTTGTTGACTATTCCCCCCACCTATTTCGATTTTCAGAAATTCGCTTTTGGCTGACACATTTTCAGATAATGTACTTATTATCTAATATTTATTATTAAAATATATTTTATTTATTATATGTATAATATATTTTTTATATATAATTTATTATATTTTATAATATTTATTATTAATCCTAATGTATTTATTAAAAAACACGAGTAATACAATTACGAACGCGAAAAAATTAGAACACAATGAATTGGTGGTATTTTTGAAATGCATATTTTATACAGAAATGGTTGCCAAAAATAAAACATACATAAGGGGAAATATTTAACAAGGTATAAAAGGGTGGAAATAGTTAGCACGATCCAATATAACGCGAAGAAACGCGAATGCGTTATAGTTTCGAAAAGGATTTTATGGTTAGATTTCCGAGCTGATCAAATGATTGACCTATTGATTCAGCTTTTTCACAAATAGGTTAATTTTAGCAAAAAGGTGCCAATATCAGATGATTTTTGGAATTCCAAGAGCTCCAAGCTATATACTATTTTTCTTCAGTTATCAAAGATTAAAAATTATTAGGAGTCGATGAACGTATTGATGACACTTTTATTGGTCATGATGATATTTTATTTCAAGTCTTTCAGGAAAAGTCTAAAAATTAGTTCAGGCTCTAGTTTACTTTTTCGCGAGTTGACTTTTGTTTTCTTTCTAAGTTCAGTTCATTTTCTTTGCTAAAAAGAAGGCAAACTCGAACAGCGAAAGTGTAAAAGTAACGAAAAACTTTATCGACTTCTAATTTTGAAAATGGATTTTAATTCTCAGATTTATCAGCGAAACAAAATTTTTGCATACTTATCCATATAATTGGTTTAATTTTATCAAGTGTTTATCAAGGGTTTAAAAAAGTGTTAATCAAAAATTGTTTTTGAAGTCCAAAGAGCTTTAAGGTCATCTTTTTTCCTTGGAACTTTAAAAGTTCAGATTTTTTTTATAAAGAAACAAGTCAGAATTTTTGATCCTTTTACTTGCGTTCGTTGACTTTTTTCCAACCGTCTTTGGCTATGTTCTGAAAAAAGCAATCAATTTTTGGCCTGGCTCAATGACATGACATGCAAGAGGAGTAACGGAAATTTGGTCATTTTGTCAGCCAATTTATTTCCTTTTTGTTGTTCCGGGAACTTTTTGTGGTTACGAAAGTGAGAAGGAACTTTGTCTTCGAGTGAGTGTTTTTGAACGCAAAATCAGATACTACAACTAGTTATCAGAATGTGTCGAGTGATATCTCCGTAAAGACCTTTCAGTATTGAATCGAGAGCCATTAAAAGTGTCGAGAAAACATGGTTGGAAATTTTGCTTTTGAGCTATTTTGGCTATTATTTGAGGTTTCTTTCGGTGTTGTAATAGCGCGAATTATTTAACTTACACCTGTTAAACTAATTTTGAGGCTTTACTTAGCGCTTAAGGATAATAAAAATGATGCGAATTAATTTTTTTAAATCTCTGTTTTGTTTACTACGAAAACTGTAGTCGAATAAGGCTAGTTCACAAAGTTAATGAGCTTTCTTCTTGTTTTTTTAACCAAACCACGCACAAAAAAAAACGAAAACAAATTTCGTTACAGTTGCAAGTTCAAATGTTCCTCACTGTAATTTCAGGTGGGACTTAGAACTTCAAAAAATTATAAAATCATATTTTTTTCGGTTCAACTTGTGTCTGCTCAAAGATTGTCGGCTCTGTTTTCTCTTTGTAAGTTTTGTTGCGTTCCTAATTCATTATTAAAATGTCTGGCATATTGGCTTAAAATGCACTTCCATACGAAAATTTACGTTTTGGTAGAAATAATGTTTTTCCATTTTTGTTTTTCGACTTGTTTTTATATTTGAGTTGTCTCGCAAGTGGTGCGAAGCTCCGCTTCGCCACTGTGTCGATCTCAATGTGAAAAGTTTTTGCTAGTTTCTTAGTTTAACCGCTATTTACACAAACGGAATGTAGTTATGTTACGAAGTCTATTTTTTCCAACCCAATGGCAAACAAATGTGTTCATTTTTGGTGGCATTTTTGCAGCAATAATATTCTATCTGGCTTACTTTTGCTACATTAGCTTTATATCTGGCTTACTTTGGTTGCAAAACATTTTTTATCGGGTTTATTGGTGGCTGGTGTTTGATGCTTATCAAGTGACCATGGCGCAGATGAAATGAAATGGAGGTGGGAGGTTCGATGCCGGTACATATCAGAATTTTTATTAGTTTCACTTTTGCTTTTCTTTTTTGACCATTTTAGGGCTACTTTTTTTTCGTTTTTTGTGTTTTCTAAGTTTTATCGCTTCATCTCTGTGTTGTAATTGACACTGGAGAAATACTTAAATGGCTGAAAATTAAAAAAAAATTGCGGAAATGTTGAGTCAAATTAATTATAATTTCATGCGTACATTTTAAGCTACAAATAATTATTGGTTCGATTAAAAATTAGAAATGTTATAGAAAACAACCAGCCATTAAGCGGTGGTACCAATCCCGCGAGGCTACTTCAACCTGTCCGACCAGACGGTTGCGCTGGCTTGTTAGGATCGAAATTCATTCACAGCAAGTCCAAATCTTCGCCCTCAGTGAACCAATTGATAGTTTCGGGTCATGGCCGCGCAGCCAGTGTTCAACAACTGGACCACAGTCCAAACAGACGGGTAGTCACAGGAGTGCAACTGAGTCCAAACTACAACAATAACAACAACAACGTGGAAGGGTTAGTTGAGATGGCTTTGCTGTCACTTGTGATCATAATCAGTTTCGTGACAGAGCTTGAAAAGACTGCTCATTAAATCTGAGGGTTCTGTTCGGCTATGCCTCCCCCCTAAATGATATAAAATGAAAATGAAATATTTCTTACAAAATGGGACTAGATATATTAAAAATGCAGGGTTGATATCTTGAGCGTTAAATTAAGCTAGAAAATGGCTAAAATTGAGAATTTAACGACAATTAAAAATGCATTTGGCATCTTTTTAATGAAATATATGCGCAGAAAACTGGCGACAAAATTTAGGTAAGTCAATTTAGTAAACATGATTCTTTTTTACCAGTCCAATAATAAAATCGTACATTTCATAGGAAAGAAGTCACAATTATATGATTTAAATGGATCTACTTAACAATTGCCCCCCTTTCTTGAAGGGGGGGGGGGGGGCAGTTGTTAGGTAGATTAAGTTGTCGAATTTTTGGCCAATCAGATTGCAGTAAAATTCGAATTTCAAATGCAACGCTCTAGTGCTAATTTACTGCTTTTGTTTATAGGGGTAGCAATTCTTTAGTAGATACCAAAGAGAGGGCGATTGTTAAGTAGATTTCAATTTTCATTTTATTTTTTCATCATTCAAGGGGGTACAACCGAAAAGACCCAAAATGAGTGTGCGGAAGATTGCATTGTATACTGAATTTGTGGTTACGTAGCAGTATTTAGACAACTGCGTATTCAGACACGTCAGTATTTAGACAAATACTGTTTTAACCAATCAGAATCGAGACAAGGAAGAAATTATTAAATAATTATTGTTTATTTTGGTTTATTTATGTCTTATCTGGATTCTGATTGGTTCATACAGTATTTGTCTAAATACTGACGAGTATGAATACGCAGTTGTCTAAATACAGACCGCGCTCCGAGTTTATTTACTCATGTTTGCAACTAATAGTTAAACTGACGCATGCCGCATCAAAGTGAGTAATTACTTTAATTGAGCATGCTAAGCGGCGCGCGGGGGTTAGGAATTTAGACGACAAGCAAATTAGACGGATCCAATAAAACGGAATTAGACGTTAATTTTTTTTGCAAAACAAGCATTTTGGACAAAAAGCAAAGGGCTAACAAAACTTATTGCTTGAAAAGAACTTTCACAAATACAAAAAGAGTTATAATTGCTTTGCATATCAAAATATTAGTTTTTAAGAGTGATGAACGTAGTAGTAGTAGTAGTAGTAGTAGTAAAAGACTTTAATTCCATTGGTGGATACAGGGTTAATATAAATATTGAATGAACTTACGATCGACAATTTTTACAAAAACATTTGACAAAGAATGTGCATGATCTGTTTATATCAAACAAAGTTGAAGTTTTAAGCAGTAAAAATTTATTCAGTTTTGATTTGAACATTCCCAGGGGCATGTCGAAAGATATAATTTTCAGACGCAGAAGTTCATTGGCAGCACGGGGAGCTTGTACAAAGAAGTTATCGTCAGTTTTCAATTTCCTCGTGTTCGGTATGACGAATAGGCCACTCGTAGCGGAACGCGTAGGAAGCGAGCTGGTTGCACTTTTGCAGTCAACATCAATAACATTGTTATGGAGCTTCCAAAGTAGAAGAATTTCAACTCTAATCAATACATAGCTAATTGGAAGCATATTCAGATTTAGTAGCCCTGAAACATACGATGAACATTTCTTGATCCATCTTAGAACTTTGTACTGGAACAGTTCAAGCTGATGTAATAGTGTCAAAGAAGGGCACCATGCAGGAGCACCGTAAAGTGAGATTGACAGAATGAGAGTATTGTAAAGTAACTTTTTTCGACTGCAGGATACCGAGAAAGGAATATTTCGTTTCAGAAAATAAAACAATCTGGAACATTTTATCAACTTAGTATTCAGATGGGATTTCCAGGAAAGATTGTTGGAGACTATGATACCAAGATCTTTAATTTCATCAACAAATGGTAAGATGTCTGATCCGAGCAAGAATTGGATAGAATCATCATAACCACCAAAGTTAAGAACTTTACATTTGGCAGAATGAAACTGTAAGTGATTGTTAGTTGACCAATTAAAAAGAGAATCGATATCTTTTTGAACTAATGATGGAGCAGATGAGCTTTTAATCTTCAGGTCGTCTGCAAATAGATAAAATTCACTATTTAACACATCATCGGTCATATCATTTATAAATAAAATAAACAGAAGTGGGCCGAGAACACTCCCCTGAGGAACGCCCGAGGTAACTGGCAGAGGAGACGAAATTGATTGATTTATTAGCACACACTGATACCGGTTTGTCAGATAAGATTCAAACAACTGGAGAAATTCAAAATCAAAGCCGAGTGTAACAAGTTTAGCAAGTAACAAATGATGCGGTACTGAATCAAAAGCTTTTCTCACATCAAAGTAAATGGCTAGTCCAGGAGAATTTTTATCGCAGGAAGAATAAATTGAGTCGAGATAGATGATCAATTGGCTGATAGTACTGCGCGACTTCATGAAACCATGTTGCTGACGTTTGATTAGATGTCTAACTTTTGGATAAGTAAAGTTGAAAAGAATTCTTTCCAGGATAAGGGAAATTCGTGGTAAAATACTAATTGGTCTGTAGTTAGTAATGTCATTGCGAGCATCAGATTTGTATAAAGGGGTAACAAAAGAAGTTTTCCACTGACTAGGCCAGTTTTTGTGTTTCAATATCCAGGCATATAAATCATAAACGAGGGGTGATATGATATCAGAGCAGTGAGATAACACGAAAGAGGGAATATTATCCGGACCAGTATTACTAGTGTCGGGACAGTAATTCAAAAATGATTCAATATCAGGTAATGATAAGTTAAGATCGTTTAAACAAATCGAAACATTGGAGAACAAGTCTGGCAGTGTGAACATTTCTTGGTCATTGAAAACTGATGCGAAGAACTTGTTGAATCCAGTAGCTTTTTCGAGTTCAGTTGTCAAGGAAATATTGCCGTGATACATGATGGATGGAAGGGCAGAATTATAACCGAGAGTTTTGAGGAGCTTAAAACATTCGCTCGTAGAAGAAAGATTGAACTGATTAATAAAGACCTCTTTGTCCAATTCAATTGATTCAGAAAGATATCTAGTGATATCTTTCAATTTAATTGCCTGCAAATAAGAATTTTCTTTTTTTAATTTGCGAAGTGTTGTTTCTTTCTGATTAATTAAATGAACAGTATGCGAAGAATAAAATATCGGCAACACCTTCCTTTTGGAACGTTTTAATTTAATGGCAGACTTGAACGAGCTATTGAGAAGACTATACCACTTATCAGCATAGGACTCTATTGTGCAAGAATTAAGAGATACCAAATTGTACATAGATTGAAGATAAGTATTGAAAGTTTGGATGTTAAAAGAAGATTTGGAATAGGAACTTTGCAGCTCACAAGTCGGATGGACAGAATTAAAATTAAAGAAAATGGGGTAGTGGTCGGAGAAAATTTGATTGCCAACTGATACAGGTAAGTTTATTTCATTAGAAATAACGAGATCTAGGATATTTTTATTCTTATGTGTCGCTTCAGTAACAAACTGCAGAAAACCATTTTCGATAATGATTTCAAGAAAAGAGCGTTCATTTGTAGAAGAAGAGGAGTAAGTATTCCAATCAATAGAAGGAAAATTAAAGTCCCCGAGAAGGTAAAAATTATAGGTATTTCCGTATCCGTATTGCTGTAAAATTTCTTCAATCTTCAACAAGTAGGACTCAATGCAATTTAGGAGGAGTTGAATATTAACAGAATAAATAGAAGACATGGGAGGGTTATAGATGAGAACAAAGAAGGAGGGTAGTTCGCTTAATACAACACATGAAACGGCAAATTCAAATGACGGAATGGTAATATTCATAGCTTTGAGAGGGTCGTTGGCCGATTGTGCAATAAGTAGACCACCGTGCTGTCTTCGTTCTCGATCTGTTCTACATATAGTGATATAAGAAGAGCCAAGAAAAATTTCAGAATCATCAATGTCGGGATTAAGCCAAGTTTCTGTAAGAAACACCAAAGAAATCAAATTAGTATTACAGAGACTAATTAATTCGTATCTCTTATCGAGTGGACATATAGATTGACAATTTAATAGTAAGCAATTCGTAGATTCTAGTCAATTTGAGGATATGTCAACTGACGCGCCTTTATAGTAAAGTTTAAGATTTTTGATTCGAAAATCTTTCTTGTTTTTCGCCTCGGAAGTAATCATTTGATATCGTTTGGCCAGAAGATTTTTCTCAGTTTGACGATCCGAATGTGAAAGGAACTTTTTAATATACACTCGGTTAATGTAATTCTGAAGGTAGTGACTACGAGCAAAGCAGTTATTTAAGAATCGGTCATTAGAAGTTGTAACAAGGAGAGTAGTGAAGACTCTTATATAGGTCTTGCTGATTTTTTGTTTTTACGGAACAGATTTGCATTCGAACGTAGAAATGGCGCAAAAAAAAACTTTCGCGATTTTTAATTTCGTAAAAGAATTTAATTTTTAGATTTCCAGCGGATTAAAAACTTTATCTACTGATCCAGTTTTCTCTAATTGGTTTCATGTTATCAAAAAAGCGCCAATCATAGATTGTTCAAGAAATTCAAAGATCTTAAAGGGCATCTATACTTGCGTTCATTACTCTTTGTCAATCCTCGATTGGCTATGTTAAATGATTTATAAAAACGTTAATCTAATTATTACAAATTATTTTTGAAATGCAATAACTATACTATAGCGATATGCGAAAAAGTGATTCGCGTTTAAGAAAGCTTGAACGAAATTTAATTAGTCAGCGAAAGTTATTTGTAGTCAGTAAACAAATTTCACGCACGTTAACAATACAATTACGTCTAATTTCGCATATTTGTACTTTTGCATGGACGTTTTTCAGTCATGTCAATTTGCCTATCGTCTTATTTCCTAGGACCCAAAAATTCAATATATTATCTTCAATATATTATCTATATAATATATAAAATTAAATATTCCTGTTTGATAAGAACATTTTTATGAAAATTTATGGGATCCGTTTTTTAATTTATTTACTTTTTTGAGACGCTTTGGAAATATCTTTTCACTTCAAAAAGTAGTTCTCAAACTACTCAAGCGATTTTCAAAATACTGGTACCAATGGGAAGTCCGCCCACTACCCTGTGTGCCTGCATAATTCCCTAGTCTCTTTTTACCTTAACGCACTTTCTACAGCCGTCGGAAAAGTGTGTGGAGGAATTTTTGACCCATTTGTTTGGATTTCTAACATTTTCTCAAAAACTCTGCCTAAGCGGTTACGCTCCACTGCATAAGCGGTAACGCCCAATCTTTTTGCTCTAAAAATTATGGCTCTCAGAGAAGTCAAATTTATTGTTTTATTTACTGTTTTTGGAACTTTTTGATTTCAATGGGTAAAACGGGTGGGTTAAGGGAAGCTCACCTGCAGAAGCGCTGACGCCATTTTTTTTAGAACAAATTATGATCCTCAGAGCAGTCAAGTTTTCGATTTTTGACCGATTTTAAAGCCTTGTGACCGATTTTAAAGCCTTGTGACTTTTTTTGGAAACTATCCTCCCAAATCTGCAATTTTTGGTTTCAGTCAAAAGAAAGGGTTGAGCGAAGTTCCCCTGTGTAAGCGCTCACAGCTAATTTCTCTAGAGATGGCTTTCAGAAAATTCAATGTTTTGATTTCTTGTCCGTTTGTTGAAACTTTTTGACTCTTCTCTCGAAAACAACTCAATCTGATATCAAGGGTTTAATCGAGGCAACAGGTTATGGAAAGGCTCCGTGCATAAAATGCTACGCCTTAAAATTTGTTAAAAAAAGTTATGTCTCCAGGAAAATTCCGAAATCACAAAAAAATTTCCCTCATTATTTAATAGAGCAACGATTAAGGTTTTAAACGAAGCCCAATTTTAAATTTTTGGAAATTACCTATTTCATTCCGCATCAGTACAACTCAAAAATTATCAAACAGGTACCTCCAGTTTTAGCTGTGCCTCTAGTTGACCGCAACTTTTGCGCATTAGGACCCTGCTGGACAAATGATGCCTAGAGGAACCCTTAATTGGACCTATTATTATGTATATTACGATACTATCAACTGCCAACTAGTCTGAATGTGATCTGTCAGCGGGGCCTAGGAAGTTAAACGAAAAGCAAATTAGACGTGACCAAAAAATTGAATTTAGACGTCGATGCAAAAATTGCTGCGATGCTTCATGAAAATTCAAATTTAACTGCTGGGTGCAATGATTGTTACTGGGAGATTTTTCAGAGTTAAATTGATGTTTTTTCGGCTTTATGGAATTCGTCCCAATTTTTGTCGGCTTATTTTGCCTTATTAGCTGATGTATTAAATTTTTTAATAATTTTTCTAAATTGCTTGCTTTACAATTAATTCAAATACAAAGTGAAGTTTTGAGTTCAATCGAAACAAATGGCTGTGGGAAGCGCCCTTCATAATAAACTAAGACCAATTTTTCCTACCTATAAGTAAGGACCCTCGAAAAAAAAACATATTTGACTTTTTGACTACTGTTTGATTCTTTTTGATCTTTCTCGATAACTACCCGCTCAAATCTGCGATTTTTGTTTCAATCGAAAAAAAAACGATCTGTGGGAACATCCCCTGCATAAATGCTTACGACCAATTTTTTTTTCGAAAAATTATGGCCCTGGAAAAGTCAAAAGTCCATTTTTTTTGTTCTTTGAGTTTCGATAGTTTTGGTTTGGCATTTTTTTTATTTTTGGGCATTTTTGAAAACTCTTTCATGTTTCAAAAGTTTCTTGTTTATTGTTTTTACAATGTTTTTAGGAGATACTTTTTTCTTACCCATCTCGCAAATGAAAGTGCTCATTTGGTGTAACTTTTCTTGCATAGCATTGGTCAGCTTAGAAGCATCTGTTTATCTGCTTAATCGGTGGCAAGTACAGGGTTATTGTCGAGCAACCATGTAACAGATGCGAGGACGTGAGAATTGTTTTTTCCAGGTTGAGGATTCGATTCTGCACATAGCAAAAGTTTTTTTCAGCTTTTTGTCCCCCTTTTTAGAGCTGCAATTTTTGGCCCTTTCTCGCCTGTTTTCTCGCTTGCCGTTAGCTTCGCCGCTGTCTTGACACTACTTGTTGGCGTTTTTTTGTTGTTTTTGCAAAGTGCCGCTTCGCCTCTATGTAATATTTTCAATTCTGTTCGATGATGAAAATTGCCATGCTAATTTGTAGTGAGATTGTGTTGACGAATGTGTTGCTTTTTTACGCACTTGTTGGCTCAATTTCATGGTGATGACAAATATCTTCTCGCTTTTTCTGAGAACAGAAGGGACCTATGGTTGAGTTCGAGCTCTTAGGGTTGTTAGGCGTAGAATTGTTTTTTTTTGTGATATGTAACATTCTTTTAAACAGTTTCAAATCTATTATATTTTTTATTTTAAAATGCAGGCTTCACTATCTCGCCATGTTTAAGCTTTTTCAACGTATTATTTTGTCATGTTTAACGAAAGAATTTTTGAACGTTTAAGCTATATCGTATATTGCAATGGTTAAGATTTTTTTTCGATTTTCCAGTTTGAATTCAGTGGTTGTTCCACCGAGTTAAACATAAGCAGCCCAATATTGGGACGCTGTCACGATTCTCCAAGAGGTTGCGACTTTGGCCTTCAATTAAGAATGCTCAAATCATTTAAGTGTACGAGATACGACAATTTTTGTGATTTTTTCAAAAATTTTCAGAAAACACAAATAACAAACTAATTCCAAAATTTGAAATTCTCAACCCTGTAGTTGGGTGCTGTCAGAGTACTCTCAAGGATTGCGAATCTTGTCTCCAAATGTGACGGCTCAAATCCTTGTACTTTTCGAGATATGACGTTTTTGTGATTTTTTCAAAAAATTATCAGGAAACAAACGAAATTTTTTTCTTCAAATTTTGTAACTGCTAACCCTGTAGTTGGGGGCTATCAAAGTACTCTCAGGGGTTGCAAAACTGGCCTCCAAATATGACTGCTCAAATCCTTGTAGTTTTCCAGATATGAGGTTTTTTAATGATTTTTCCAAATTAATCAGTTAAGTTAGGTTTAGAAAAATTCTCAAAATTTAAATATCCCAAACCTGTAATTGGGTGCTGCCAGGGTACACCCAGGAGTTGTAAATCTTGCCTTCAAATATCACTACTCGAATATTTGTAATTCTCGAGATTTGACGTTCTCGGGATTTGACGAAAAATTGGAATTAAAAAAAGTTTATAAAATTTGAAATTACCAACCCTGTAATACGGTGCTGTCAGAGCACACTAAAAGCCTGCAGGTCTGGTTTCCAATATATGTGGTTTTTTATGAGTTGTCAAAAATTCGAAGCACCGGAGGTGCGTTACACTAGTTGCTTTGAAAGTAATAAAGGCTTACCTTTTTTTTGTTAATCTAGAATAAAGATCGTTTCCAAAAGCACTAGTCTTATTTTTGTTGAGCAGCTCACCATGATATCTATGTTGGTATTGTATATCAAGTTTTTGCAAGTACACTTTCATGCCTTTTTCTAATTGTTCAAAGTTTGGTTCGTCGTCAAAACATATTATTACTCGTTTTGGCATCTATAGCATTGCAAATATAAGAGTAATCAGAGTTATGTTTTGATGCAGAGTAATGAATGTATTTTTATCAGTCCTGTAATTTTATGAATGTAGTTTTATTAACATTGAATGTTTACACTAGAGTCAGCTTAGTGTATTATTAAGAATCTTCTTTTTTTCGCTAACCTTAGTCGCAAATATTGATGCCTTTTTTCGGGCAGTTTACAGCTTCTCGATAGCATGTGCTTTGACATTCGAATAGTAGTAAGTAAACATAGTTGATGTATTTTTAATTCATCAAATGAACCAAAAAAAGCTATTTGGTTCAAACAACATAACAATATAAACTCAATTTCAGAAATTTTCTAACTCAATATATCTCGCAATTTTTTGAAATGCATAATTTATACATTATGTGGCTTTATGCTTTGCGATTTGTTACATGCAAAGTTAGTGTGGATGCCTTCAGTGTTTTATATTCCAAATTATTTTTTGCAAAATTGTGTCTATTTGTGTTTCGTGCCACTTTTGCTGAATGGTATTGGCAATTTATTAGCTTATGTAGCTGCTTTATTCGTGACTAGAGTTTGTCGCTGGTTAAGCGTGCGTGGCTGAGTGGTTATTGCGTGAGACTCAAAATCTATATTGCAGTAGGTCGCAGATTCGAATCCTACACGTAACCGAATTTTCCAAATTCGAGGCTTATTTACATTTTTTATTGCACTTCTGAGAGTTCCTTTTTGTCGTGTTCTCCTAGGGTTTGTGAAGCGAAGCTTTGCCTCTGTGTATTTGTTCCAAACGAATGAGGAATGAATTTCCGAATTTAGCTTAAGTAAGTAGGCCAAAAAATGTGTTTAAATTGTTTTTGCCTCGCCACAGCAACCTGCTATGCCACTGCGCAGCAATCTTTGTTTGAATTTTGAGTATGTTTCAGCTTTTCTCCCTGCGGAGATGGTGCGCTCAGTTCTGAACACGTAGCCCATCTGGAGTCCCTGAAAAATGACAAGAACTTCATTGCGACGGTATGTTGACTTTTTTGTTCATTTGTAACTTCCTCTTACTATCCTGCTGGAATGTTTTTTGGGCTATAAGAATGGGATCTACTTCTTAACAGATATGCGTTCTGAGGCATCCTTTGCCAAATTTTGTGAAATCTTTAAATTGCTTTTTCAAATCTATATTTTTCATCTATAGTTGGTGTAATTTTGTGTGTATAGTTGGTTTGCTATTAATTGATTATGGAATCCCTCAGAGGCGAAGGACCGAATGGGCGAAAATAAAAATCACCCAATCAGATTTCAGTTATCTAAAATTTGGAAAGAAAATGTGAAAGTCTGAAAGAAAGTAAACATTTCCAGGGACTTAATATTGATACTGGCCGAATATAAAAACGGCAGAAATATGCAAAATTTTCAAATTGTCACTGACTGCCGCCGAATTGGAACGAATTTTATATTTCAAGGGTTTCGTTATGAATGAAGCAAAATATTGCTTCATTTAGTTCCTTTTTCTTGAGGGGCAATTGATTCATTTTACTAGTTGACTTTCGACTGGTTTTAATTTCGGTCCTTCGCCCATGAGATTAGCCCCCTATTATCCTGGTAGATTGTAGTTTTTAAGCGAAGTTGTTATTTACGCTCTCCAATAACAAATGTGCGAATGGAGCGAAAAAGCGTGAATTACTTTTAGTTTCGGAATTGGGTTTAATTTTCCCCAACGGAATAAAAAAGTCTCCTATTGAGGAAATTTTCGGATCTACTTAATTTCCACTCAGATTGTTAAGTAGAGTGAGTTCGTCGAATTTTCGACCTATCGGAATGCAGCAAAATTGGATCTCTTTAACTAATCCCCCTCTAGGATACCTATTAACTAATGGCCACCCCTATAAAGAATAATTCAACGGTTAAGCATAAGTGAATTTTGTACCTAGTAAGGAATCTCTCCTCTTTTCCAAAAGGGACGGGAAATAGTTAAAGAGATCCGCAAAATTAGAGTTCTCAATAGAAAGCTCTAGTGCTAATATGTGTTTTTATTTAGAGGGGTGGATATTATTTTGTAGATACCATATGGTGGAGGTTTCCTTCACGCTTTTCTTTTTTGCTAGTGGCTGTTTTTAAGTTGCAGCAAGAATGAGCTCGTGGTTTGTTGAGATTTTTGCTGAGCAGCTGAGCAACGGCGTTATCAAGCCCGTCTCCCCACGAGCTCATTGGTTGCTCCAAAATAATTCTTTCATTTCTCAGCTGAAATTGAAGTATTCAATTCTCAGTTCTGTTCTGTGAAGGTGCATCAGCTGGCGGAGCAGTTGGAGCTGCCGGAAGGATGGGCTATGCAGTTCACGCAGGCTAAAGAGAGCTACTTTGTAGACCACGTGAACAAGAGCACCACCTGGATAGACCCTCGCATAGGTTTTATTTTTTATTTAAACCTTTTTTTAGTCGACCAGCCCGGAGGCCTTACCCGAAGGTTAATTGTTTAGGTTGACAACGACCGCATATAACCAGCGCCCATAGTAAGCTATGGCTTACAAGAGCTCACCTTGCAAATTGCAACTCTTGATACCGATAGAATCGTCTTACTGGAATTTTAATGGCTGAATGAGCTCCATAGCACTGTTCTAAAACGCGTCTTGATTGTGTTTTTTTTTTCTTGCGGAAGTGCCATCCAAATTAGGGCATTTTAAATTTCCAGGGAGATCTTGAAAAAAATTTGGTCAACCTAAAAAAACAGGTCGTCTAAATTTCGGGTAATTTTTAAACACTGCCCCTCAAAATTGTCTTAGATCCACCCCTGGTCCAAACAATTAAGAAACAGTGTTTCATTTACGAAACATTTAACGTGTTTTCTATGGTAAACCTCAGTCCACTGCTTCGGTTGAAAAGTTTCCTTATTTTTAAGTCATCCATAATTAAATTCGTTATTGCAAACCAAAGGCTTATGATGAGATAACAGTACAATGAGTGCATTCGATAAGAGTCAGTTTTTCTAAAGTAGGATGTCAATTTTTTTAGCAATTGCGGAAGCTCAGCTGCTGAATGGAGAGGCGAAGCAGCTGAAGATTAGGTCTCAGATATCACAAATCATACGGAGGAAGCAGCAGCTGCAGAGTCATTATTTTAATCTCGATAAACAGGTGGGTTTTAAGTCAATTTACAACTCTTTTAGTCTGCAGCTCGTTTGATAGTTTTAAAGAGTCATGAACATTCGCTCTGGCTTCACGCTAAGTTATAATCTCCACCAAAACTTTGCACTTGTCTGATTTTGAGCCTGAAAACAATTTATTATTATTAACTCATTTTTGATCAAATTTAAAACAGACGACATTAGTTTTAATAGTAAAATATACAACAGACGACGTTCTAATATGTAGAAAGTTGATCCACTGATCGTACTTGAAATTGATCCAAGTGTTTCGTTTGATGCGTAAAGTTCCTGTCATGCTGTTAATGTAACCTATAAGCATCGAGTTTGATTGTGTTCTTAAAGATGCCAAAGAAGAACGGAATAAAAATTGTTTCCAGTACGAAGTTTCCATTTTACTAGTTTCAGCGTCGAAGTTTCAACAAATTCAGTTTCAATATGTTTTAGCATACAATTTTCAGCTTGGTAATTCTTTCAGGAATCGTACTTGAGGAAAGCTTTAGAGGACGACTTAGCATGTCTGAGTCTCTCACCCCCCTCGCAGATGACTAACACCTCCCCCTCCCCCTCGACCAACAGACTGGGCGTGGGTGGTAGTGTTGGTCGTGCTACGATATCTTCTGGACCCCAAGTAGTGCACCATAGACAAAGCAATAGCTGCAGTTCTCTGCTGGACCAGAGTAGTAATGTTGTTGTTGTGGGCAATCATCAGAATGTGTTCACTCCGCCACCCGCACAAAGTCAATTGGCATCCACCACTATTTCACATGATACAACTGCCAATGGTTAGTTCATCATGAGCACGAAATTAAGTTGCAAAACTATTTTCGCACGAGGGAAAGGATCATCATACGAGTCGCGTAATTACAGAAAAAGTGATAATTAGGTAATAACTTAAACGATAATACCATCGTTAGATTGGTACTTTTTTCTACTCGTCATATAATTCGGTGTAAAAAGTTTGGGTGGAATAAATATTCGGTCGTTTTTTTTGTGAGTAGAAACATTTGAATTATAACCTATCAGCTTTTCAAAACAGTTTTTGCACCACTAAGTGTTTTTGTTTGAATTAGTAGATTATTTTAACCAACCTGACTTTATAGCTTGTTTTCACGCATACTAGAAACTACAACAAGGAGTCTTAGTTGAAGTTCAAATATGTCAACTAGAACGGATGTGGTAAGTTTTGAGTGTTAAAGCGTTAGTGTCTTGTTTTAAACTCATACCCTATCATCTCTTTTAGAGTTCTTCTGGTTTGTGTTTAAGTGTTACTGAACGTAGAGTAACATAATCCTTTATATAGTATGTTTTCCAAATTCGTTTTCCAAGCATAAATGATCCATGCTGGCCAATAGAAAAATTAAAGTACACCGGAAATTCAGTTTTAGTCACAACTAATTTTCTATTTCATCAATTGTATATATAATTCAAAGTGATCCATTTTTCAGTATAGTTTCTACTTGAAAAAATATACAATCATAAGAAGTTTCTGGTAATTGAAAAAGGCTTTATACTATGTTATGATTTCAAAACGAGAGAAAAATCGAGAAAAAGTAGATATTTTTTGTCACCCGAGCTTGTGAAAAAAAATGTCGACAAAATTTACGAAAACTTTTTGAAAATTCGCCCCCCTTGAGAAAGTCCTAGATTCGCCCCTGAGTTCAGTAACACTTTTCCTACTGTCTGTTGGCTATGTTCTCTCAATTCATCTGTTTTAAACAAGAAAAAATTGAGGTAAATTTTATCAAATGTATGTATTTTAGTGCCCTGAGTTTTTTTGCTCATGGCTGAAAAAGTTATTATAGGCACGTTAAAACCTGAGAAACTTGGAAATTTTTAGTTTTTGGTGACATCTCTTATTACACAAGTGTAGCCAAGTGTCATATTACAATATTGACTTTTTTCCAACCCAAATAAATTCATTTATATGGTGGCATTTTTGCAGCAATACCATTATATCTGGTTTACTTCTGCTGCATAGCATTTCATTATATCTTTGTAGCTGGATAATTGATGGCTGGTGTTTGAAGAACTGTAAGCGCTAAGCGCTTATGGCACAGATGCTAGGACTTGTGACTCTTAATCTCCAGGTTGGGGTTGGGTTCCGGCACTCAAAAGATTTTAAAATTAATTTAATCTTTTTTCCTTCTTTTTAAAACGTTTTGACCATTTTAGTTACTTTTTGACATTTTGTGATGACAAAGCAGTTCAGATTATTATATAGGTCGTAATGATTTTCTTCGCTTATTTTTTCAGGAAAAATCTTAAAATTTGTTCAGGCTCAAATTTAGTTTTTCGCGGTTCGACTTTAGATTTTTTTAAGTTCAATTCATTTCTTTTGTGAAAAGGAAGGCAAATTCCACCATTAGTAGCAAAAGTGTAATGGTATCAAAAAACGTGATCAAATTCTAGTTTCGACAGTTGTCCTAATTTTTTTTAGAAAATAAGTTTTTGCTTTAAGAAGGAAGTTTTTTTTTGACAAATTGACCGACCGTCTTTCTTTCTCGAAGACCCTTCTTTACCCTTTCAAATCTTTGCTTAAGCGGCTACGCCCAAGCTTTTGTAGAAAAAAATTTTATGGCTCAAGGAAAAGCCATCTTTTGACATTTTGACCCGTTTTTGTGAAGCTTTTCGACTTCTTTCGAAAACAACTGGGTTTACGGATTCAAGTAATGGTGGTAGAAAAGGCTTATTTTGCTGACATTTGTAAATCATATCATTTAACGGCGTTTCAAAGACTACTTCACGTTAACGGAACCCCACTGGCTGCTTTCGTAGTTTTACAACATGTGGTGTTAACTTCTAAGTTATAGATTCGATTTTAGTTTTTCGTTAGCCATCTTTTTGGTATCTGGAGCGTTATAAGGTCTTGTTCGCAAACTATCCACAACAATTCCATCATATTTCATCGCAGCCACTATAGTCAGTCACAACGGATTTTCTTCGTATCCGCCGTTCAAAATATATGCTTTAAAAATATCAAACAGGTATTTCCAGCTTTATGTGGGCCGCTAGTGAGACGATAAATGGAACTTGATTTTAAGTTGTTGGATTTTTTTGATGTTCTAACAGAAAAAAAATGTTCATTTTGACCGAGTTTCCTCAATATAGTTTAATTTTTTATATAAATGAACTGTCAACCATGAAATTTTCTCATTGGTCAAAGATTTTCAAGGTAATTTTTGTGTTCCGTGAAATCAGTCGGTTTTTTTGTTTCCCTCAGTTTATATATTTTCCAAGGGTTTGTTGGTTGTATTTGAAAATTTTTTGATGATATTTTTGGACATGTTTAAAAATATCAGACTTTCAAGGCTGAACGGTGTATTCAGAAAATTCTAAATTTGAATCATTTTAATAGCAATGATGTGGTCGGAACATTCTGTGATCGTAGCAATCGTTTTCTCGTTTTCTTAGAATTTTTTTTCCTGAACATGCACTGTCTTCGTTGTCCTAAATTAGATTACAAACTGATTTTTTGAGAAATCGCCATAAATCTTTTATTGAATTCGAAGTTAATGGTTTTTCTTGTTTTTTTAAAAATTTTTATTGGTTGCTTTCATTTTAACTTTTTGTTTCTCGTTTGCAGATTTTTTGTTTGTTATGAATATTGCTTGGAAATATTAGTGCTTGATAATTATATTTCTCTAGTAATCAATTGATGTAGTAAAATCTCATTGGCGTGTATCGTGTGGATAGTATCATATATAAGGTAATAAATTAAGTAAATGTCAACTAACCATTGACACCAGATCCCAAGTATCAGAAATTAGTAGTATCAAGCTAAGATCCTTGCCACGTGAAAGTTCTAGACGCAAAAACAACGGCCTTGAGTCGCAAAAAAGAGCTTCGCTCAACAAAATAACACTGTCTGGAATGTGGGGAGATAATACAAATGGACTATCCTCGACAGGACTGTTAAGGCCTACCGATAGTCCTCTGCGATTCGCAGGAACTACACTATTCTTTATTATTCGAAGGAAAAATTCCAAGTTGGCTCTGACGTGGAGTTTTTAGACAATCACAATAGCAATTTTTGTGCGATATTCATATACGATGGAAATATATATGGTGGAGGGTGTGTATGGAGGTGAATTTAATAACTTGATGCGAATGATATTTAGAATTGATGCAACACTTGGTTGGAGTGGGAGCCGGCGACATCTCCGGCAGTCCGAATCATCTGCCCCAAATGGGGGGTTTGAGTTCGGCAGCCAGCAGTGGTTGCATGAATGGATTGCAACAGCAGCACAAAGCAGCGGCCATTAATGCAAGACACTACAGACAGTCCAGTGCGGATAGCGGAGTTTGGACTGGACCAGCTGGCACCCCTAACACGAGTAGTCTTGCCAATGGAATCGGTGGGTAATATGGGCTACAATGGATTCGTTGGGTTAATATGGACTACACGATAACAGGGAACTAGAATTTACAATAACAAACCTAAGTAAAAAGCGAAATCCCCAAACTTTGTTATTCATGTTTGATTAAAAAACAGTTGATATGAACTTGTATGGGATTGGGTTTTTTCTGATGCTTAGATAAATTTTCACTTTTGTCAAAAGGCATTATGCTAATTTTCACCCAAGTGGTATCAATAGAAATATCAGTTTCTCCTATGTGTTCCGCAAGTCTCTTTTAAGAGTAATGATCGTAGTGAAGACTCTTATATAGGTCTTGCTGATTTTTTTAAGGAAAAGTCTTAAAAGTCTCTAATAAACTACAGATGTGCATTCATACATATTGATGATCTATGAATGCACTTTGGTATATATGCACTTTTTGAGTTCAATTGAAACTCATCTGCTGAAAGTGACGTAAATAGCACTCTCCAAAAACGAACGTGTAAATGGCGCAAAAAAACGTGAATGGTTTCTAGTTTCAAAAGTGGAATTTCATTTTTAGATTTCCAGTGGAATGAATGTTTTACCTATTGATCCAGTTTTCTGTAGTTGGGATCATGTTATCAATAAAGCGTCAATCATAAATTGCTCTAGAAATTCAAAGAGCTTAAAGGGTATCTATTTTTTTCTCTGAAATTTGAAAGTTGAGATTTTTCAAGAAAATGAGTGTTTTTTTTGTTTAGTTGCGTTCATTACTCTTTTCCAATCTTCGATTGGCTATGTTTTACCTTACACGCTCACTAAGGCCTTTAAAAGTATCGATGCAAAGGGGTTTAAACCCATTTTTTGGACTTCGCGCTTTTTCTCCAAAACTACCCTGCCTTTTATGAGGTTTCAATGAAAAGAAGTTTGGAGGGACCTTCCACGCATAATGAAGTATGCCATAATTTTGGTAGGGAAACCGCTATGGACTTGGGAAAAGTTCAATTTTTGACGTTTTGCCCGTTTTTTGGACTTGTTTTTTCTCGATAGCGGCCCTGCCACAAATCTGAGAAAACTTTTTTAAAATTACGCATTACCTTTCGCATCATTATAACAAATTCTGTAAAAGTAAAACGTGTCAAACTGATATCTCCAGCTTTAGCTTTGTTTCTCAATTTTAAGTAATGAAGGCTTACTCTGTTGTTTTATTCGGCATAGATAATTCGTTGCGTCGTTAATTTCAAGAGTCTTTATATTTTTTGTTAAGTTTTCAAAGTTGATGTGAAGTGAAGACTCTTATATAGGTCTTGGAAATTTTTGTTAGTTTTTTTTCCAGGAAAAATCTTAAAAATTGTTCAAGCTTAAATTTACTTTTTCATGGTTTGAATTGTGATTTCTTTCTAAGTTCAATTCATTTTCTTTGTTGAAAGGAAAGCAAACTGCACTATCGAAAAGCAAAAGTGTCAAGGTGACGAAAAACGTGATCGACTTCTAGTTTCGTAAGGGGAATAGAATTTTCAGATTTGTCAACGGAATAAAAAGATACCTACTGGTCCAGTTTTCTCAACGTTTTAAAATTTGTTTAAAGTAATGAACGTAGTGAAGACTCTTTTATAGGTCTTGCTTATTTTTTCATATTTTTTTCGGGAAAAGTCTTTAAAAGTCTCCGATAACTACAGATGTGCATTCATACATATTGATGCATTTTTGAATGCACTTTGCTATATATGCTTTTTTTCAGTTCAATTTAATTCATCTACTGAAAGTGACGCAAATAGCACTCTCCAAATACAAACGTGAAAATGGCGCAATAAAACGTGAACAATTTCAAGTTTCGAAAGTTGGATTTTTAGTTTCGAGTTGGTAAAATTTTACCCGTTGATCCAATTTTCTCAAGTTGGTTTAATGTTATGAAAAAAGCGCCAATCATAAATCGTTTTAAAATTTCAAAGAGTTTAAAGGGTATCTATTTTTTTCTTTGAAATTCGAAAAAAAAATTTTCAACGAAGTCTGTTGTTTTTATGTTTACTTGTGTTCATTACTCTTTTCCAATCTTCGATTGGCTATGTTTATCATAAAAGTGTCAATCATTAATTGTTCTTGAATTTCAAGGAGCTGTAAAACCAAATATATGTTACTTTGAAACTTGAAAGTTATTTTTTTTTCAAAACGACAGTTTTTTTTTTTTCTGTTAACTTGCCAACTGTCTGTTGGCTATGTTTTGATGTACTCGAATGGTTTTCAATTTAACCTCATCCTCTTTGAAAGAGTGTGTACTTTAAAGTTATCTGAGAAACTACTTCCTTCTTTTTTAGATGTACAGAGACGTATGTCTTGTCTGTCTCATGGAGGCTCATATGACACTAACAGTAGCAGCTGTGTTTCATCACCAGGCGAGAACACCCTAAGTGTCATGAATACCCACCAACAACACCACCTTCCTTCTACAAACAACAACTCCCTCTCAGTATCATCACAGAGTCAGCCTCCAGTTTTGCACAACGTCACTTCCGATTCGCATTTGAACCAGAATAACAATTCGCACATGCAGATGAGAAATTCGATCAGCGCTCAGTCACTCAATGAAGAAAATTATGGCAAGATCATTACCCTATTCATGAATTTAATTTTTCTCCAATAAATAGATACTAGATTTTTTTAGAAGGACGTTTAGAAAAGCACGGTTTGTGGACAAAATATTCTAAAAAGCCAAAAACGGCAGTTATGATAGCTCCTACGATTTACTTGTCGTGCAGGAATTCTCGGAAGACATTATATTTATTTAAGAAATGTTTCGACAATTTTCGAAAATCAGTGGAAAATCACTTTCGAAAAACTCCAGGTGCACGTCCTAGATGAATTGCATGTCTGCTGCTAATGAGGATGTATGTGAAAATAACCAAGTAGGAAACATTTAATCGAGTTTTTTGAATTCTTTATGAACGAAGTTAATATCAATTTATTTTAGTAGTACTTTTTCAGTTCTATTTTGTTCACGTTAAGTTAGATATTTTTATGGTATGGCATTAGTTTTTTCTTTACGCTTGCGCTTAGCAAGTGTTATCAATTCGGAATATAGACGTTTTTTTTTGTAGTTGACAACTAGTTTAACAAAATCAGTTGACTCACTTGCTGATATCAGTGCTGACATGATCAGTTTAATGAAAATTCAAATTTAGCTACTAGGTGGGTACTAGTTACTACAGGGTAGTTTCAGGCGAACTTGAAGTGGAAGATAGTATTTTTTTTCCGGGTTAACAACTAGTTTAACAAAATCAGTTGAATCACTTGCTGAGGAGGAGGAGACTTCTTTTCTATGAAGCTGACTTCTTTTCACTTCTATTAACATTTCATGTTGCTTCCCCTTAGCCTGGAGTAAAATTAATTACCTTTGTACCCTAGGGTCGAGTCGTGGCCGGACCTTGTTTTTGTCAGTATCAAGGAAAAAAAATTCCGAGAAAAATGAATTGCTGGTTTTCCGTTTGTTCGTTCAAGTTTTGTCGGCTAAATTGACACAACGGATTTTGTGCTGTTGACAATTTTCATTTTTGTTTCAAGTGCGAGTATTATTCATTCTAATTTCAGGGGGGACTTGAAAGATTTTTTAAAAAAACTTTCATAAATTTTTTTTTTTCGGTTCAGTTGGTGTCTGCTCAAAGATTGTCGGCTTAGTTGCCACATCACTGATTTTTTTTTACTGTAAGCAACTTTCATTGTAGTTGTATGGGCTGTTCATTGTAGTTGTGCTGTTCATTCTAGTTTCGAGGAGGACTTGAACGATCTCTAAAAACATTCTAAAAAAAAACATTTTTTTTCCGGTTCAAGTGATTTCAGCTCAAAGATTGTTGACTTAGTTGCCACGTCACTGATTTTTCTTGTGCTTTAAATAAATTTAATTGTAGTTGCAAGTGGAAATGTTGTCCATTGTTGTTTAAGATGGATTTTTTTTTATTATTATTAAATCATATTTTTTTCGGCTCAACTTGTCTGCTTTGTTTCCTTTCGTAAATTTTGTTCCACTGTTTTAAAATTCAAGTGTCTGGCATAATTGCCTGGAATGAACTCCTTTTGAGACATATGAAAGTATATTTGATCTTTTTTTCAAAAATTTTCCTTTTTTGCTTTTTTGTTTGTGTTAAAACAAAAAAAGCTCCGCTTCGCCTGTCTTAAAAAATGAGTTTTTTTCGGCCTAACTGGTCTCTGCTCAAAGATTGTCAGGCTTGTTTCAGCTTCGTAATTTTTTCGAGTTGCTACTTTGAATTTCGAATGCCGTGCTTGGCATTTTTGGCTCGTTTTTTTTTAAAAAACATGTTTTATGAAAATGTATGCGATTGGTTTTATATATTCTTACGCTATGGAAAATTTTATAACTCTTCGCAAAAAATTTAGTTTTTTTCGCAATAACCCTTTTACCAATTTTCAAAAAAGGGTTATTCATAGAAAGACCGCCTACACCCTTGTGTGCTTGCATTCTCCCCTGGTCTCTTTTTGCTTTACCATTTTGTCTAAGTCTTCGAAAAAGTGGAAATATTTGACCGATTTTTTTGATTTTTTCTCAAAAACTAACCTATCAAATCTGAGAGTTTTTTTTTGTTTCAATGACTGGACCGGATTTAGAAAGCGTCTTTACCTAAACTTTTTTAAACATGAAAATGTGGCCCTCGGAAAGGTGAATTTTGTGATATTTTTGACCGTTTTCAAGTCTTTTTGAAAACTAACCTATCAAAACAGAAGATGTGGGTTCATTGGTCATAACGGGTAGTGCGAAGCTCCCCTGCGTTAGCGGCTGCTCACAAGCTTTTTTACGCAAAAAGTTATTGTCCTCGGTAAAGTCATTTTTTTTACTTTTGACCGTGTTTTGAAAATTTTGGACTTTTCGGGAGAACTACACTGCCAAACCTGGGTTTTTGGGTTCAGTCGAAATAACATGTTGGGTGAATTTCTTCTGCACAAGCGGCTTCGCGCAAATTTTTTTCAAACAAGAAGCTATGATTCTCGGAAATGAGAACTATCTGATTAGTTGACGTTTTTTTCTGAACTTTTCTCGATAACTATCATGCCAAATCTGATATCTTAGGTTTAATCGACACAACAGGTTGTTGGAAGCTTATCTTTGTAAATTTCTACGCCCAGTTTGTTTTGAAAAAAGTTATGGCCTTCAAACTTTGACCGCTTTTTGGAAGTTTTGAGACTTTACTCGAACATTACCGTGACAATTCTCAGGTTAAGTGTTCAATCGAGGAACCCGATTTTGGGAATCTTCTATAATTTACGGGACACCATCTGCTTTTCGCAGAAAAAGTTACGGATTTAGGAAAGTCAAGTTTTTGAATTTTTCCTGCAGATGCGGCTAGTTTTTACTTTTTTGTAAGAGAAATGTTATGGTGGGGAACATTCCAAAATCTCACACGTTTCACTCGTCTCACTAATTTTAGTAGAGAAACAACTAAAGTTTTGGGAAAAGTCTAATTTTTGAAGTTATGCATTTCGTCCCGCATCAGTATAACAAATTCAAAAAATATCAAACACGTATATCCGGTTTTAGCTGGGCCCTAGGTGTCCTTCATCGAGTTATACTAAAGTTTTGGTTCACCTAGTTTTTCTCAACATTTTTCATTTTTTTTGACATTGTTTCGACATGTTTTTATGATTGTGTTGTATCGCAAGTGGTACAACGCTCCGCTTTGCCTCTGTGATCAAATTCATTCTAATAGCCGCGTTTAGCTTTGTGGAAAGGCCAATTACGCTCTCCAATAATAAAAATGCAAATATTACAAAAGTTAGAGCTCCAGGTTAAAGCTGAAGTCAGAGAACCGAGCAATTTTAGTTTCACATTTTCCAGCTGAATTCTGTAGTTACTTTTGACCTAGCTTATCACGCTTACGATTAGTTAGCGCTAGCAGATCAAATCTTAGCCTTTTTTTCAGGTTAACAACTTATGTTACAGTTTCACTGAAGAATACATGACGTGGGCTGATAGGTTCAGTTTTTTCCTAGTTTAAGTTAAACTAATGGTTCCTATCACAGCTAGTTTTGCTATTGTAGTGCTTTTTCGAAATTGTATCGGATTTTTTTCTTGAAAAATTATAATTTTCAATTTGTTTGCTTAGATTTGACTTTTCTTTTGATATGAGCATATAAGTGTTATGAAATGAAATCAGAATGTAGATTTTCAGATCGAAGGTCAGACGTTAATTCGCGCATGTGGCAAAGAGCTAATGGAGCTGCCTATAAAGACAGAGATCAATGGTTCGAATCTGGCCAGTATCGTTTTTTTTGTAAGAGAAAATTGTCCGAGCACCAAATTTATCTAAGCTTTGGGCATTTTTAACTCAAATTTAAAAATATTCCAGCGTATTCCGGTTTTGGGCATCTGATTGAGTTCCCAGCAGTTTTGCCTATTTGTTTTACAACTTTTAATTTCTTTTTCATGCTGTTCAGTAAAATTTTTTGGAAGCTGTTTTCTTTATAATTTCAAGGAGTGTTCTTTGCATTTGGGGCTGTGGTAACACCCATGCTTGAGACGACGAATTCCAGAAGTTTGATTTTAGTCGACACCTGTTTTTTTTGTAGAAACTGAAAATTTCAGACTTTCGATTATTTCAGCCTTTCGTATCTGCTAAGTTTGCTCTTCATTATTTTTATCAAGTAACTATGAATGAACTGAAGTAATTATAAATGCATTTTTTCCGATCTACCGATCCGGTTTTTGTTCCGACCATTAAAAATTTTTGTACTTTTTGTTTTTCACGCAAAATTAGGTACCACAAATAACCAATGGACCGGTTCGAGTGATACATCATAATAAAGCCCTTTTAGTTGTGATTCAAATGACATTCAAGAAATTTTTTGAAAAAAATTCTCAGTGTCGATAAAAACGATTTTTCAATCTATTTGGTGCGAATAAAGCGAGCTAACAGAGGCGTATAATTGGCTTGTCAAAAGAAAGGTAAGCATAGTCAAGCCATGTAATTTTAAATTGTGCTCTTCATTAGTTTTCGAAGTTTTTTAGCGCCATTTAGGGATTTAAAAAATCTGCAGAAATTTTTTTGTTTTTCAATAAAATCAGTGTTTTTTTTTTCCTTTCCATTAATCTTTTCCAACTGTCAGTTGGCTATGTTTTTGTATATGAGCTGAAAGGAATTAGTGTCTTGAGCTCAAATTCAAATTTTGAAAAAATATTTCACCTGTGATCATTTTTCGCAAAGTCAAGAGGGCTTGAAACTGCCTATTTGGTGATAATTAACGCTCGATATGCTTAGTCCAATTAACGCGTAAGCAGCATTTTAATCCAGCTCAGCATTTTAGTTCCAATTTGATCCGAGCCATTCTATTTATTCTAAATAATGCGTTACTGTATGCTGTATACATCACTTTGTGCTCTAAGTAGCGTCTTGCAGCTGGTGTTCAAAAAATCCAAAATTTTGAAAAATTTTTTTTTTGAAAATTCTCATTTTTGAAGTCGAACTCTTTCCTATAGACATTGTTTGCGATGTGCAGCCACGCCTCTGCATGGAGTTATTATTATATCATTTTCTATCACTTCTAGCTGTCTACCAAAGCAGCTGAGTTTTTCCGATAAGCATCCCCTCAAGTAAATCATCGAGATGAAAAGGGGCCTGCTTGGATTCAAACCGTCGCTGTCTCGATGAAAAGCTACAAATTTCACATTGTGTAGGTTATATCCAGTCAAGATCTGGTCGTGGCGGTCTCGAAGCTCCGCAGCGAGAAAATAACCAAAGCTCAGTCATCGTATCGATGGAGTACATCCAACAACAACATCAGCAACAACAGATGTTAGAACGAACAATACAGCCTTATGGAGTGAACCAACTTCAGCCTTCGAATCAAACAGAAAATTCCAAACATGCAAACGAGCAAGTGGATAGCTCATGTCCATCTATTGGAGGGTGTCTAATCGAGTCACTTGTCGTCTCTGGTAAGTTCTGTTAGTTTAGTCAAGAATTACCTGCCGAATTATTTTTCGGTTACTTTTTCGTTTTCTTGAGCGTCAGGTCAGTAGCATGGTTGTGTACGGCAGTCGACTTGGATTGGATGCTTGAAGCCAGTGATTTAATTCTGGTACGGGCCATTTTTTTTTTAAAGTCAGTATTATTTTTATGTAACCTTTTTACACAAACGAGCATAAAGTTATATTAAGAATCCTTTTTTTCCTAAGTAGCATCTATTAATTTAATTGCTTCTGTTTATCTGCATTATCAATGGCCAGTATGTGCTGATTGTCCAGTGACCATAGAGTGGATGCGAGTATGTAAGAGTCGCAATCTCCCGGCTGGGGTTTCGATTCTGATGCATAGCAGATGTTTTTTCAAGGCTTTTTTTAAACCTTTTTAGAGCTTTTGAAAGACTTTTTTCAGCTATTTTGCTTTTTTTCGCCTCTTTTCTCTCCTGCCGTTAGCTTTGCCTCTGTTTAAACGCTATTTTGGTGTTTTGTTGCTTGTGATTGCAAAGTACAGCTGCGCCTCTTTGTAAAATTTTTATTTCTGTTCTGTGATGAAAAATGCCATGCTAATTTGTAGTGGGGTTGGGTTGACGAATGTGTTGCTTTTTTACGCATTTGTTGGCTCAATTTCATGGTGATGACAATCATCTTCTCGCTTTTTTCTGAGAACAGAAGGGGTCTTTTATTAATTTCGAGCTCTTAGGACTGTTAGGTGCTGATTGTTGAAAGTATTTGCTTTTTCAGATGGAAAAAATTTCAAGTTGCTTTGAAAGTAGCTTAGGCGAAAAAAAAATATTCCAGTTTTCTCAAATTGGGTTAGTTTCATCAAAAAATTATGAATCATTGTTCTAGAAAATCAAAGAGCTGTAAGGTCATATGTTTTTCTTTGAAATTCAAAAATTTTTCAAAAAAATCGATTTTTCAAAAAAAAAAGTATTTTTTTTTCTGTTTACTTGCGTTCATTGACTGTTTTCCAACTGTCTATTGGCTAATTCAGTTTTCCTGATTTTCTCGCAAAGTCAGGTTGAGCAATTAAATAAAGTTGAGTGTTTTTATCATTTTACATCTTTTTTTAATCAATTTACATCTTTTTGTCATGATTCGATTGATGTTAAAAATCTTTCCCGTGTCGAAAAAAACGAGCTTAAGCTTTTTATTTCTTAAGACGAATTTAGTGTGAATATTGAATCATTTAGATTTAACCTTAAGTTGTAAAATTAAAACAGTTGATGAAGTCCTCACATAGTCATAAACAGCTAGCCAAGAGTGAATTAGCAATGACAAGAAACTAGTCCAGTTTGTGAAGTTGGTTCGTTCCTAATGATCTCGATTTTTTGCTTTAGGAGAGTCAGCAATGGAAGGTATGAACAGCAGTGTGGATTGCAACAGCTTTAATAATAATCTAACAATGATTTCATCTATGGACACAGACGAAGACGAGTTCCTTCACAAACTGATAGATGATTACAGCATTTATGGAACCCAAGCAACAATATCAAACAATCAAAGTAATCCTCACTATTGTGTTATGTAGTAGTTTTTTTGTTATTTGTTATTTTTTTTGTCTTTTGGCTCCTTTATCGAATATTTTCTCGAAAGATAGCTGCCAGAATTAAAGACATCAATTCATTTAATAGAAGAGAGACGCCCTCAAATAAAAGCCGCCCTAAATTTCGAAAAAACAATCTTTCAAAATTGTATCGAATTTAATATATTCACAATCACTGTAAAATTTAGTTGAGCTGCATGTTGCCGTGCATACTCGCAAACAAAGATGGTTTTTTTGAGCTACGAAACAGATATTTTTATTACTGCAGTTGTGAATGAAAAATGTAATTTTGGCCGTAAATTTTAAGGAAAAGTGTGTATTTGCTCAATGATGCAAAAATGTAGATTGAAAAAAAAACAAATTATTTATATGTAAACGGAAAGATCTTCAAAATAACGTCTTTAAATTTATTAAGTAGAAGGATATATTTCCTATCTTGATTCAAAGGCTGGAGAACCGGAAGGCTTTTGTCTATTACATGTGGTTACTCGAGATACCGCCCTCCGATCTTGCCCAACCTACAGTACTGCTGTGCTGATTTAAATTATCCGGAAAAAAACTAGTAAAACTTGAAAATTCAATTGCGTTTTTTTTTTTTTCAATTTGGCTTGGTTTTAGTTCAAAAAAATGATGAAAGCAAAACTTGCATAAGTTTTTTAGCGGAATTACTACGGTTCAATTTGTTTTTACACAAGCATAGCTTGCGTTTTAGTGTGAACTTTCTTTTTTTTTCCTACCTAAGTCGCAAATGTTGTTGCGATGCAATTGTTGCGACAAAATGTGTTCATTTTGAAAGTGTTCATTTTGATCCACCAGCTATTAAGTACAGTCAATGCTAAGGATATTAACAGACTATTAAATTACAAATAGCAATTTAACTCAAAGTATCATGGATCTGTAGCGTAGAGGTGGAGAAGGAGGCCAGCAGCAAAATAAGAGGGTTCGACCTGGGCAGGGTCAGATGTTTTATATGAATTTTTTGTATGCTATTTGAAATACGTCCGCTCTATAAATTGAGGCATGTTAGTTGGTAAATTTCATTTTTTTTTCTCCTTGACTGGTACTGCTAATGCGTCATAATTGATTCGCCTAACTTAGCAATTATGTAGACTCATAATTGGCGTGCGTCGCCTAAGAAAATTTTCTCGAAGTTTTACTCATTCAGTTTTTCCCAGTAGCGTTATTGATCATATATTTTCTTATGTATGCGAAGTGCAACGTCGCCTCTGTGTAAACTTTGTTGGTCTACATAAGAGGCTGACTTTGAAATAGTTTTGTCAGCAATTGAACCAATAGTTTTGGCGTAATTTGATCGCCTAAAAAACCAAAAATAGTCATGTTTGGGGCAAAATTTTGAGCCCGATTTTCACAAAATTTGCAACATACCAATTCTGCAAAAACTTTATGCAAGTCTTGTCTTCATCATTTTTGGCTGAAATCAAGTCAATATAAGAAAAATGCATTTTTTTTTACAGTTAATGAGTTTAGTTCGGTTAACTAAACCAGCAGCGTATGAGCCCTTAAATAAACAAAAATGTTGTTACAGGCGGAATCAACCAGTCCAATGAAGATAGTGGGAATGTAAGCGGAGGAAGTAATGGTCTTCAACTGGGTGTCCACGATATGGCCTCGATGGATGCCATGAGCATCATGAACGAAGGGGGAGGACTTCCTATATTCCATTAGACTGCTGCTCCAAAAGACAGTGCTGCTTGTACTATACCGGTGCTCATTGGCTGCTACGATTATGAATAAATTAAGTTACCGGCTGTCAACCTCCTGATTTATTTATGCTGCATGAATTATAAGTTAAATGCCGGTATTAGAAGTTCTCATTTTTCCGTTTCAGCCTTGGCTGTGGAGTTCCATAAAACTGGATGATATGAAAAGACGGTTACATTAATTATTGTTCGGTTCAAACGTTGAGTCATTCCATCGTCATTTATAGTATTCGAAAATCAGACATACAGTTTCTAAAGATAAAATCTAGATGTTGAAGTGGATATTGTTGATTGTCAGTGTACCGATTAGCATGTGTGTTTGTTAGAAATAAATGTTGGACTTAACAGAGCGGATAATTGGACGGAAGAACAGTTGGCATAAAGGCTCACTGAATTCCCAAACTATTTGTTTTACTAAATCAATTGAACACTTGTCTAAATTGATCAACTTTTCCTTAATTGTTTTCATCTTCAAAATGGCAATTAAAGGCATACAATTTCTTAAACCATTTTGAAAAATGAAATTAATGCATTTTTTTAATTAAAAGCTGGACATTCTAATCGACACACATGGTAATACTCCATCTCGGAGTTGAGCTGAAACTAAAACTATTCGTGAAGTTTTAGAACCATTTCTTTCTTTAATTTCAAAAAAGCTCGCGAAAAAACAGTTCAGTTCAGATTGCTAAATGTGAAGTATATAGCACCATTTCTGGCGTAAATTTCTAAAAACCAGCAAAAAAAACTGTTGAGTTCAGTAAAGATTTTTGAACTTTAGCTTCTTCTGCTCACATTCATTGTGTTCGATTTGTGTCGTCTGCCTCTGTGAGGCAAGGTCGCTAAATTAGGTTAATTTTTTTAAATAATACTGTAGTGTTATGTCCTCGCTTTATACATAGCCTTCCATTTACCAGATAAATATGCTTCTGTATATGTAGCGTTTCTTTTCATGTTGATAACCATGTTATTTAGTGCCACTTAGTGATTTCTGTCGGTCAGTAAAAAAACCTGGTTTCGTCTTTCTCGCTTGCACTCATGTATTTGAAACATATGAAAGTGGTATCGGCAAATAACGATTTGTCACAAAATATCCATTTTCAAAATTATCTGTTTGTTTCTTTTCGGCAACTTCATTGAGTTTGAAATATTCAGAACGTAAAAATTGAATATTGTAAAAGTTTTCTTAACCATTGGATTATCTCTAAATTGAGGTTGAGATTCGTTATTAGGAAAAGTAAGTAGGAAAAGTAAAAAAAAATCGATGAGTGTAACTTGTAAGACGAATTCTGTTTCTGCTCAAAGTGTACTTAAAAGTACTTGATATCCTTTCGCTGCCTTGGCATCTTCGACTCCGTTTGAGTTGTCTTCTCTTCTATTTTCTCTGAGATAAAATATATTTTGCTACTACTCTTGTTAAATTTATACATACTGTGATTGCGATGAATTATTATTTGCAAATCAATTGATCTTTAAAAACGTCTTCTTATTTGAAAGTACGTGAGCGCGGAGGTACATTCTAATGCATGCTAGTGGTTAGATATTTGGAAATGATGGCTCCCAAGAAAGGTTGATCACAGTACATTCTACCCCTTTCCTTCTTAATCCCTTCCAACTTAACCATTTGCCATCTCAACCTAGCAACACTTGTGATTGAGTGTCAATAAACTTTTGTATTTTTTAAGTTGTGTTTGTTTTTACTTAGAAAAATGCTTCAAATTTGTTCCATCCAAATTCATTTGGTGAAAAAGAATGTCGATTGCGCGTAATATTTCTCAGCGGAATATAAAATATCACCTATACTCCAGTAATTAGTTTAGCTTATGAAAAAAGGTCGATCCTAAATGATTCTTGAAACTGCAAGATCTCGTAAGAAATTCAAGTTTTATCATTAACACTTTTTCATCATTCACCTTTTTTGTTTTATGTACACTTTCGCTGTTCGATCGTGGAGTTTGCCTCCCTTTTAACAAAAAAAATGAACTGAATTTAAAAAGAATTAAAATCAAACCCCGAAAAATCAATTTTGAGCCTAAACAAATTTTAAGACCAAAAAAAAAAAATATCTTGACCTATATAAAAATATCTTGACCTATATAAGTGTCATCACTACGTTTCTTGACATTTACAACCTTGAAGTAGTTTTCAAAACTAAATCAAAAGTCAAACTGATGAACATTTGAGCAAGAACAAAATTTTTTCATTAAAATCACAGGACCCAAAAAGAAGTCTTCACTTTGTTCATTGACACCTAAAAATTGACATAACAGTAAAAAAAAACATTGAAATACTGTCATTGATAAGATATCGTTTGTTGTTTTACCTGTCAATTTTTTAGGTGTCAATGAACAAATCGAAGACTTATTTGGGTCCTGTGGTTTTAATGAAAAATTTTTTGTTCTTGATTAAATACTCATTCGTTTGACTTTCAATTTCTTTTCACGTTCAGTTCATTTCTTTTGACTTTTTTCTGAATTCTCAGTTAGAAACATGGCTGAAAATTCTCTAAATCTAATTTTTGAGTAACAAACAAGTTTAACTTTTCTGTCTCTCAACATTAATTAAAAACTTGTTAATGTTCTTTTTTTAGACAAAATGAAGCATTTGATTGAAGAACTGATAAATATTGGATGTTTGAAATTTGGCGACTTTACTCTAAAAAGTGGGCAAAAGTCACCCTTGTATTGTGATCTGCGAGTACTTATAAGTTATCCGCACTTCATGACTGAGATCTCGGACTCTCTTTTCGCCAAATATGAAAAAATCTTTGACGGTAAGTATGGTGAACGGATCTGTGGAGTTCCCTATACGGCTTTGCCGATAGCAACGCATTATTCAATCAAACACTCGATTCCGATGGTTTTACGCCGAAAGGAGGCTAAAAACTACGGTACGAAGAAACTTCTTGAAGGCATTTTTAAACCAGGCGAGGAATGTCTGATCGTTGAAGATGTAGTGACTACAGGGTCATCTGTAGCTGAAACTGCGGAAGTTTTGAGGTCGGAAGGTTTAGTTGTAAAAGATGCTATCGTGTTTATCGATAGACAGCAAGGAGCTACGGAAACTTTAGCGAAAACTGGAATTAGAGTTATATCTCTAATTACCATGGAAGATATAGTCGATTACGTGAGTTCAAGTTCAACTTTTAAGTTACCAACTGAACAATTAAAAATTTTGCAAGATTTCGTGTCGTTGAAAAAAGTGGTTAGCATTGAAAATGAAAAAGTAGCGGATCTTCTAGCCAAGCGAATTGAAGGTTTCAAATGTGATCATAACAAAAAGTTATTGCAGATTATAGTTGAGAAGAAAACTAATCTTTGTTTATCGGCCGATTTGACATCTTGCGAAAATGTGTTGAGAATGATTGATCAAGTTGGACCTTTTATTTGTGCAGTTAAGACTCATGTCGATATATTAGAAGATATATTCACCTTTGGAGCTGAAAAGTTCATCGCGAATATTTTGGAGCTTTCAAAGAAGCACAATTTTCTGGTTATGGAAGACAGGAAGTTTTCAGATATCGGAAATACTTTCAAACTGCAATTGATGAATGGGCCATTTAGTATTTCAAGATGGGCTGATTTTGTAACTGCTCACGCTATTTCTGGTAGTGGAATGATTCAAGCTCTACATGCTGAAAAATCAAGTTTAGGAGTAGCAGTTCCCAGTTTGATTTTTGTAGCGCAAATGAGCTCATCCAATAACTTGATCACCGATGATTACACCAAAAAGACGATTGAATTGTCGGCTCAAATCCCGAATCTGGTTTCAGGATTTGTTTTCCGCAAGAAGGATTTGTTCACGGCAGACACTGAACAGTTTTTGAAGTTCATGCCTGGAGTTTCACTCGAAGAATCGACCGATGGTGGAGATCAGAATTACGTAACTGTTGAGCAGGCGATTACGCAACAGCTAGCTGACGTCATAATTGTTGGCAGAGCTATTGTGAAAAGTGACACTCCGATAGGAATAGCTCAGCAGTTCCAGGAGAAGTCATGGAAGTCTTTCTCCCAAAGATACGCAGACTTGTGATTGGTCTGTTCTTGAACGTGCAATATGCTATAAATAAATATAGTGCAGTAAATAAACGGTTGATGACAGCGTTTCTGAAACAATGAGAATTATTAAGTGTGTTTGAACGAAATAAAGGTTATTTAAGTTTTTTTTTCGTGAACAAGTTTTCACGCTCAAATTTGATTTTTCGCGGTTCGACTTGACTTCTTAGTTAACACAGAAACTTATTAAAAACAAATTAGTTTAAAATAAAAACAAAAAAAGAGTTGGACCAAGTGAACAATCTCAAACTGGACCAAGGAGAGATTTCACTTTGTTAAAAGTATAATTTTTCAGCCAATCAGATTTTAGCATAGTACATGCCGGCCTTACGGCTTGAATTTGCCAATTAGGGGGGAGTTTGTTTAGTTGGTCTATTAAGGGGAGAAATTGATCACATGGGCCCTAACTTTTTTCGGCCTCGTTTCTTACTGACATAACAATTTTCAAAGAGAAGAGCAGGAAAAAGTGGTAATGTACATGGAGTATTAACTAAGCGTTAAGAAAAACTCAACAAAAAGTCAGGGTGTGCACTCCAAACGTTAGTTGAGTCTTAAAAAATACCTGGCAGTTTTAGATGAATTGAATTTTCAATGAATAAACGGAAAGCAGTGGGTTCAACTCCAGCCAAAATTTCTAGCTCAGCCAAGAAACCGAAGCAAAAATCAATCCATGCTTTTTTCGGTGGAGGAAGTGCGTTTCAGAAGGAAAAGACGACGAAGATAAAAGGTTTTCACACAGCTGTTGCGATAAAGAAAACACATGTTAAAACGACTTCAGAAATTGTCAGTCTGAGTAGTGACGAGGAAGAGGATGAAATCAAGACGAAAATTGAGAAAAAACCAACCAGTAAATCGAACATTAAAAACACCTCTGAGAATGCTAGGTTGATTTATGGAAAAGCTCGGAAATTAGAAAAAAATGAGGTTTGCGATTTGAATATTGATGATGAAATCTGTTACTCGCCAATATCCGAATTTGAATCAGGTTGTCAGGATAAAACACTAGAGGCTTCAATTAGAACGGATAGTCCATCTTGTCATAAGAAAACCGAAATAACTCTGAATACTGAATCAGATTTAGCGAATAAAAAACGGGACGCGAAATCCTTAATATTGAAACCACAACCAATGGTTGCCTCGCATGCGAAAAAAGTAAAGCAATGCCGATTTTCCAATGATATGTCGGGAATTGAAAACGGAATGAAAAAGTGTCCGTTTTTTAAGCGAATACCAAACACAAATTTTGTAGTGGACGCCTTTTCGTACGGGAGAATCGACAAAATATCAGCTTACTTTCTGTCGCATTTCCATTACGACCATTACATGGGACTGAACAAAAACTTCACTGGCAAAGTATACTGCAACGAAATAACAGCCAAACTTTGTAAGCTGAAACTTGGTTTGCCAGAGCATAAATTAGTTGTTCTGCCGATGAATACCTTGACGGCTGTGAATGGAATTGAGGTTTTGTTATTAGATGCAAATCACTGTCCTGGATCTTGCATGTTTCTGTTTATTCTGAGTGATTTTGTAATTTACCTGCACACTGGAGATTTCAGAGCGAGTGAGAGTTGCTCCGAGCTGTGGACAAATCTGGAGCCGTATCGCACTCGGTGATGAGCGTTTTTTTTTATTAAAAAAGCTGGTAATTTTTTTTAAAACATGAATATCCGGATACTGTACAATTATGCGCAGAATGTTCCGACCATAAAAAATTGACATAGAAAGAAATTGAGAAAAATAGTATTTCTTAAAAATTTTTATTGTTGATTGACGACTATTTACATTTTTGTTGAAGGGGATTGAAAATCAGCTCTAAAAAGAAGCACTGAGAGACTGAAAGTTGAACTCAATTGTGATATCAGTCTAGCTGTGACTTCCACTGTTCTCATCTGTTTCCATAGCTGAAAAATGAGTCAAATGACAAAAAAGTTACACCAGCTTTTTTCGGCACTTTTGAGATCTTTTTTGAATCCAAATAATTTTGAAAAGGCTTTAGTATAATACTCATTGCTACCCTATGAAATTTTTGGCTGATGGCCCCTAAAATTTGACAAACAACTCAACCCTAGGAGATGGTCAAGGTTACTATAAAATTTTACAATGTTTTTTTTTTTGCACAGTAAATTTAGTTACTGATAGCTGCTCTTTTTCTGGAATTCTCAAATTGAACTGTTATAAATTAGCTTGTATTGCGCCGCACGTGTCTTTATTCAGAAACAAGCTGAGTTTTCTAATGCAAGGACCTTTCTTGTCTCGTTGGCAATTGACAGAAACCGAAAATCAAATTTTGAGGGATACAATATTTTCATAGGAAAAATTTTCGTTTGTCAGATGTTACGGAAATTCAGATGTAATGAGTAAAACTCAAAATGCTCATCGCTTTTGGACATGATAGAATGGCGACTTTGTTTCTGGACACGACCTACTTAAACCCTACTTACGCGTTTCCTTCTCAGGTTGAAATTGTGAACAAAGTGGCCGAATTGGTTCTGTCATTGGTCGAGAAAAGAGGAAAGAACAATATTTTGTTCGTTTTCGGCTCCTACACAATCGGTAAAGAGAGATTGTTTTTAAAAGTTGCCGAAGTGTTAGATGCAAAAATCTCAGTCGATAAACCGAAATTCGATATTTTGAATTGCTTCGACTGGCCTGAAATTTCTCAACGTGTTGAGTTGCGATCGAAATTAGCGATGATTGTAGTAAAACCAATGCAAGAAATTAAAGTGCAAAATTTAAGATACCTCAGTACGAAATTAACAGGTTCTCGTAGATTTAGTCACGTGGTAGGGTTCATACCTACGGGATGGTCGCAGAGCAAAGGGTTTAGTTTAGAGGACAGCTTACACCCGTCGTCAGAGCAAGGAAATATTAGTATTTATTCGGTTCCTTACAGTGAACACTCGAGCTTCGAAGAATTGAAGCAGTTTGTTCAGTTTTTGAAACCGAAAGAAGTCATACCGACAGTTGGACACAACTACAAAGAAATGCAGAATTATATTCAATCGTGGCTGAAAGATTGAACTGTTTGACACTAATAGAAAATGATTTGATTTAGTTTGATTTGTTTGTATTTATACGAGCTTGCTGGAATTTGATTGTTTTAGATGGGTTAGTTTTTACGATATGAACCTGAGATGAATTACAAGTAATAGAAAGTGAGCCTGGGCTAGAGTGGCAGAGTTGGAAACAGATTCAGAAAATGGGAGAGCTTGAAGCATATTCCGGGCAAACTTGTGATATTAAAAACACTTCATAAAATACATAAGTGAACAGGAAATAGCAGATACTAAAAAAACAAAGAATACTATGAAAAACTTCGCAGCGGAAATAAGCTAACTACCAGAGCAAAAAAAATGGAAAATATGACAGTTTATATAAGTTTTTACAATTAGATAAAGATAGTCTTCTTAAAGCGCGAACAATTACACGTGACTCTTTGGACTCGTTCTTCCATAAAATAAGAGATTTTTACTATTGTGAAAATGAACCCTTTTTAAATATCTCATGGTAAGTTTTCATCACTTTGTTATTTATGTTTTGGTCTTCACATTTTGATTGCTAAACTACACCTGAGAAATGAATTTTGCGTTTATCGTTTTTTTGGATTTTGTAGTAGCGTTGTGGTCTTTTTTGGGCTCAATTTATATGATGTAATTTAGCGTTTTAGGGTTTTCTCCCAAGCTGAACTGAGCTGTAAATGTACAGTTTCATAATAGTTTGCTATACGTTTGGGGCTTGCAAATTAAATTTTTAGTATGTAACTAACTGAAATTGTGTCCGAAACAAGGCAAAAGGCACTTAGCGTAGTGTAAGGCGTTCTTTGAGGAGAAAATCAGATCCAGTGTGCGATCCTACGTCACGGCAATCCCCTGCCATGGAAATGATAGCGCGTTTGAAGGATCTCGAGCTTCAGTGCTACGACAGCCTCGCCCATTTCGGCTACAGAAATAAATTCACGTGAAACTGCTAGACGCAAAAAACGGTCTTGAGCTGTAGAAACGAGATTTGCTCAGCAAGAATAACTGCCTGGAATTTATGTAAGTAGTGCAAAACACGGACTATCCTTACACAGGATTGTTGAGACCTACTGATAGATCCTCTGTGGTTCGCAGAAATAACAATTAGTTTATCTTGTTTGTTTTTTAAAGGGACCTGGATGCAACTTTCGTTGATTTGAAATGAAATTATTCAATTGAATCACCCAATTTTTATTTGAGGCAGCATTCGTTAAAAGTTTAATTAATTTTGGGTAATTTTGATTTGAGATTTTGTTAATTACAATTAAAATAGTTCAAATTAACTACTCAATTTATATTTGAGGGAGCTTTGGTTAAAATTTAAATTATTTAGGTAATTTTGATTTGGGATTAATTTTTTTTTGGGTTGTAAGTCAATTCTAAATTATTTTTGATATTGTTTTGCGCAGTAGTTTAATTAAAGTTTTATCCAATCAAAACAAAACTTCCATTTAACATTGAGACAGGCTTTGCTCAGTTGAACTGTGGCTTTTGTATCTAACCTTGTTTGAACTTTTTCACAACACTTGTTGAGAGGCTTGGCTGCTACAGCATTCTGTCTGATATGTTTTGGAGACTTTCATTAAGATATTTTTTTTATAATTTCACTTGAGATTTTTAATGAGAAAGTCTCTAGAAATCGAAAATTGAAAAGTTTACTGCGAAATTGACTGCGACCGGATTCTAAATGTCTTTTCAAAAAACCGAAGATTTTTTCTTCATTCAGTTTTCGAAGTTCAAAATGCAGCCGATCTACAAATGAAATAAAAATCTTTATATATTTACATGGGAAACCAGAGCAGTTAGTTTTTCGAGAACATAGGCTCGCACGTGCAAACAATTAGCGCAGGAACATTAAGAATACTATTGCTTCTTAACAATTTTTTTTATCAATTTGTAGACTCATTACTGTTTTAAGTTATGTTTCATTCGCAGTTCTCGTAGAAAAATTTTCATTTATTAGCATTTTTAAGGATTAAAATGGTTGGCGTTCTGTTTTTTGAATGATTTTTGGACTGAACCTTATGATGAACAATGAATCCGTTTTTCACGAAATCTGAGGCCAATTTGTGACTTCAAGCACTAAGAATTTGTTACCTATAGAATAACATTGCCTGTACATGACACCCTTTAGCTCAGAGAAAATTGTATGTTTTAATTTTGCGACTTATTCACTGTGGCATTCTCTAGAAATTTGCCGGTAGGCAAGCGTTATCAAATGTTATCAGAAGTTTTTGCAGGTCAAAAACTTGTTTTGCAGAGTCGCTGAATCTTCACTTCAATTTTTTCGTCAACTCTTTTTGATCCACAGAAATTGAAACGAATTTAAACTAATTTGAAAAAGTTATCAACTTATTCCTGTTACAGCCAAAAAAGAATAGTCATTTTAGTTGAAACGCAACTACCGAGGCCTTTCTACGGCTCTTAAGAGTTATCCTAAAAATTTCGTTTTGTTATTTTGATTTTTCTTCAAAGGAAGCTGTAAAAACCAAGCACTGGCAAGAGCGAAATTTTTCTGTTGTCTTTTCTGGCATCAGCCTGAACAAAAAACTACTGCCCTAATTGGCTTCCTAACTTAAGCAAGTAAAGAAATGCTACAACAATTTCTCATGAGAAATAGTTTTTTCTCAATTTTTGTTTTAATTTCTAGGCAAACGAGAAGTTGCGTCCAGCAGAAATCTGACAAGCCAAGTTTTTCCAGAAACTTTTCATTTGCTGCAATCTGAAAAATGTTTTGGATATCGAAACTCATGCACTTCTCTCTGCTGGAATGTCCCATTTATATATTAATCTCCTTGCACAATTGTAGTACAATTGGAGTCAGTTTTGGCTCGTAGACGAATAATAGTTACTTTTGAACCCGGTAATCGGTCAATGCGCAGATAGGTCTAAGAGAAGAAAGGGTTTGGGGCTAGAAAATATTGATTTATTCGTGCTACTCAATGAAACAAGCATTCGAATTATCCATGATACAGATGAAGTTATTAAATTGTATATATGTTGACTAAATTTTACTTTTTAAAATCAAGTTTTATTAAAAGGAACTTGATGAATTTACTCAACTTGTTTAACCTGTTCTTCCCATTCTTTTGTTGATGAATCTTTACACAAGCAAAACTTGTGTGACAGCATGAACTATCTTTTTTTTCAACCGAAATCGCAAATATTGGCGTTTGGAAGTGTTCGTTTTGATCAATAACCATCTATTAAGTACAGCCAATGCTAAGGACATTAACACAGACTATAACATTGCAACTAACACTTTAGCTTGAAGGTATCATGGATCTGTAGCTTAGAGGTAGGGAAAAAGGCCCGCAACAAAATAAGAGGGTTCGAACCTGGGCAAGGTCGGATGTTTTATGAATTTTTTGTATACTAGTTAAAATGCGTCCGCTCTATAAATTGGGGCATTTAGGTTTTTTTCGAATTGACTGGTATTGCTAATGCGGCATGATTGGCTTGCATCATTTAGCATTTATGTAGACTCATAATTGGCGTGAGTCACTTAAGAAATTTTGTAGACTCAGAGTTTTACTCATTCATTGTTTCCAGTAGCGTTATCGGCCATATTTTTGATTGTGTATGCGAAGTGCAACTTTGCCTCTGTGTAATAATTTGTTTTTATCGATTATCTCGTATAATGCAATATTTTTCAGTTGTGCTCTTTTTTATTGCACTATGCAGGACGAACCGTGGGGGGGGGGGGGTGATGTCATCCATTTTGCCACAGCCGGTCCCACCTTGAGGAGGCGGATGACAATGGTACCCCTCCAACAACCGTGATCGAAGTGGGATTCGAAAACAGGACTCAGTGTTGAGAGACGCTTGCCTTGCCTCACTCAGCCACGGCTGCTCTTGATGTTCCCCTACAACTTTTCTGCTGATTTCCGGCCACTGTTTTAACTATTAGATAATCATTAGCTCGTGTGAATTTTTTGTACAACTGTACTACAATAAGAATAATAGATAAGTTGAGGCCTTCAAGAGTGCCGTAGTGCTAGAGCGTTAAAAGTGTTTTGAAAATTTAAGAAATCTGACGACTCAATTTCTAAAAATCTATTTTTTGAGCAAAATTTCATAAATTTGGATTTAATTTTCTGTTTGATTTTTTAAAATTCTGCTGGCCCCAATCCTCCTGCAAATTTTCATAAACTTATATGGCTCAATACAAGAGTGCCGAAAAAAAGAATTGTTTAAGTGCCGACCAAAATTTTCAAATTAGTTTTCAGGATTTGAAAAAGACCGGAAATGATGACGTTCAAGAGTGCCGAAGAACAGCAGAACAGGATAGAAAAAATTCAGATTATCGGAAATGAATCGTTTCTGGAATTGACTTCTTTCAAATTTATAGTGAATTTATCATCGGGTTTGTGATTAATTGTTTGCTTGCAACAAGTTGAAAAGCCAATTTGAAGGAGTACTTTGTGTGTTTCGATTGAGGTCAGACACAATTACAGAATTTTTTTCGCTTCTCTTGATCGTAACTCAGTTTGGTGCCAAAGTACAAGAGTGCAAAAATACAAGAGTGCCAAAAATCAAACATATTTCCAAGTGTTGACCGGAAAATATTAACAAAACAAGGTTTTAGAATGACAAAACTACGATTTAAATACTGAGTCACTTCACGAGTAAATTTTTAAAATTATTTCATATTCAAAGCCAAAATTGTAAGATTTTTTTAAGGTTTTTGAGTTTCGCTGACATTTTGTAAGAGATTTGTAAAATTTTATGATTTTTACCCTACAAGTTTGAGGGTTTTAGCCCATCAAAATGAAGCTCATAAAACATTGTTTTTTTTTAAGTTTTGAGTTGTGATAGATTTCCTGAGATAATTTTAATGACTTTGAATTCCAAAGCCTTTAAGTTGAGGGTTTTACCCCATCAAAATGAAGCTCATAAAACATAGTTTTTTTTAAAAAGTTTTGAGTTGTGATAGATTTCCTGAGAAAATTTTTTTGACTTTAAATTCCAAAGTCTTTAAATTGACAGTTTTACTCCATCAAAATGAAGCTCATTAAACATTGTTTTTAAAAGTTTTGGAGTTGTAGATTTCTTGAGATAGTTTTAATGACTTTAAATTCCAACTCAAAGTTCAAAATCTTGTAAAATTCTCTAAAGGTTTTCAATTGGTGCTTACAAGATATAGATTTCGAATTGCACTATTACATGTCTAGACTGTAATTTAGCAAAACTTCAAGTTAGATGAGGTGAACTCGGGAAGCAGCTAATATTGGAAATCAGATATTTTCTGTCTAAATAAATATTCTTTTTCTGCATGCAAATTTCTTTTACCACGTGCGTTTTACTTAGCGTACATTATTTTAATCGCTGATTCTTCATTGACAATTTAGTCCGAATCAGAGCTTTGCTTTATACCGTGTGAGACGTGAATTAATATTTGCATGCTTGAACGGCACACAAATTTGTATACACTTCAAATGCAGCAGCATTCAATAAATATTCTTAGCTTGAAAAAATTGAAAACAAAAAAGTATTTTGTTTCACCTGGCACTATAATATCGTGTTGGTTTTAAAAGTACAGTCAAACTTGTCCATAGTATCCAGAACGTAATATATAGTTTTTATACGTTTGTACAATTGAGTATAGTTTCAGTCATTCAATAACATGACGAATCGAGACGAGACTCTGAAACTAGACTTGGAATTGGAGTTAAACGACGAGGACATTGTAGGTCCAAACGGGGATTCTGGAAATAACCAACTGCCTCAATCCGAAGAAATATTACTGGAAAATGATGATTCGGATAACTTCAACATTATCATTGGCTGTTTGGAAGAAACAGTTATGGGCGAGACGTTCCAAAATTTACAGTCGCAGTTTATGGACAAATATTACAAGCAGTTCGAGGAATCGGAGGAAAATAAATTGGAGTACACGCAGATTTTTAACGAATACGTCGACAAAATTGAAAAATACGTGGACAGTGAGCTGAAAAAAGTGTTACCTGAGTTTAACATGCACTCATTTTTGGACGAGTTAAAAACTCGTCAAACTGCAGATGAAAGTGTTATAGAACAAGAACTGATGAATATTTTCCTGTCGTTTACCGACTTTTTGACCTTCAAAAGCATGGTTTTGGAGTACAAGCGTGAACAGGAGGGTACTGCGCTGGATTTCGGAGATATGTTGCTGGTGAATGGACAACCGGCCACGCCTAGATCCACTGGCCAGACTCTTGCTCAGAAACTTGGTCTCAACTTTGGACCCGTATGTCAAGGTATGTCCCCCCTCTCATGTTTTCTAAAATAAGTCTGCCGAAGTGATCTTTAAAGCAGTAACAATAAAAGTTTCAGGCGTTCTCGTGTTAGAGCTGACAAATTGTGAAATAGACACAACACAACGTCCACCCACCTCAAGCATTACTTTCATGATGTGACAAAGGTTTATCATGAGCTCCACATGCGTATAGAAAGGCTCAATTAGTCAGCATGCCAATTTAGATGACAATCGAACATAATAAGCAAAAGATATAGAAGAAAAAATGTCAGATATGCAAAAGAGGAAAAAGAGCCATCATGACAAAAGAACACCCTGCTTCTTTTTTTTTAAAGTGAATGAACCTTAGAACAGAAATGCCTTAGCGGGGCTCTTTTCCAGTTCCCCCCTTTCAAAATACCGAGTATTAAGTTTGTTTGACGTGTTATTACGGCTAAATGCGCGATGTTACGCTTTAAAGTATGAAGAACAAATCTGTTCAGAATTGTCGATTTGTTCACCACGCAAAATGTCATTGCTTTATGACTACGTTAAATAGACTTTTCAAAATTGAAATTCAAAGGGGAGGAACTGGAAAAGAGCCCTTAGCGGGCCTGGGTTCAATGTGGTTTACTCTACGAAGCTTGCATTCACGAGAAATAAAATGCAAGCTTCCAAAAGGATGTTCGTATCATACAGGGGCAGATTTAGGAGGGAGCCTCCCCCCACTCAGGGATTCGACCCTCTACCGACCCAAAGGGTCCCCCCTTTGGTACTATTTCAAAACATCTAATTTGGCTAACCGATCCTTTGGTTTCTTCTCTATTTCGGAAAATGTATTTGAAAAGACTTTTGACGTGAATCTCAGTAAAACAGCGGTGAAACGTGTGAGCGTGAAGACCTAAAAAGATTTTTGAAACATTTATTACCTTTTTGAAAATTGCCATACGAAGTAACTTAAGCTTATAATTTTTCAAGTGGGTAAGAAACTGGAAAAGAGCATAAAGTTTTGACAAAACTGTTCTTTTTTTTGCGCCCCTACCTCACATAAGCATAAACTTTTTGTGAACTGAGGGGTTTTAAATTTTCAAGTATGAATTCCAAATATGTTTGTCAGAGCCTGATTAGTCCGCACGCAAGTCTTCTACAAATGCATATTAGATTGGTGTTCTCGATATCTAAAAAATATCTATCGTTATCATAAAAAGTTAGAGCGTAAAATAGTATATACATTCAAGCGAGACAAGTTTAAAAGGTTGCAAAATACAACACGGGACATGCAAGTTGCATCGTTTAGTTTTCAGGCGATTAAATTTAACGAAATTTTTGTCATGGGTGTTTTGTTATCTCTGCAACTACCAGAGATGCGCGGTTGAGACTTTGAACTATAGTGAATGAAATTTTCTTAAGAATATGGCCATGTAAAAACCGTCAAAACTTGTTTTTAAGGCGTCGTTTGGGCATTTAATCAGAGGTCGTCAGAGAGGTGTTCTTAACGCCAAAGAGTCTCCGTAAACAGCAGAAGTAGTTTGAAACTGGACTTAAAGGCTTTTGTTGGAAATCTAAGCTTGGCATTCATAAAGATTCCATCTTACTTTAAAAGGATTACAAAGTACTCAGCTACGCAATTTAATTGACTCAATTCAATTGACGCAATTTCGTTATTTTACTCAACAAATTGCTGATGTTTCAGCCAACTTCTGTCAAAGAGCTCAGCTAAATTTTAAGTTTTTTTTTATAAAAAAGGAAAATTACGTGAGGGCCTAGCTTAGATCCTTAGCTCTCCGACAAATACTTTCAAGTGCATCCTTTCAAACATTTCTACTGTTTACGGGTATATTTTTTTAGCACTGAGAACACTTCACTGAAGCCCTCTTGTTGATTGGCGAAAGGACACCTTGAAACAACTTCTTATGTTATTTATCCGGCGTTATTCTAATAAACAGTTTCATCCATCATATGTCAAAATATCGGCGGTTTTTTATTAGTAGTTGTAGAGAATGTGACAGAAGTATATAAGAAATGTGCTCATTTCATCGCTTAAAACCTAAAAATTGTATGTTCTATTTTAAAAGCATTTTACAAAATCATTGTTGTAATAGCACAAACTTTTTTCTTGTTTGTTCAGTTTGTTATTTTTCTGACCGCGTAACTTTTTCATTTTTGAAATGGCTAGTCAAAATTATGCGAGGGGTAATCAATACCCGTATAGAACTTTGAGTACGACATTTTAAACTCTGTGCGCTTTCACCGATGATTTTCCGACACAGAGAATAGGTCGTGAACGGGTTTTGAATGATTGTCTGCAAATGCCTAATTTGCTTCATGTTTTAATCCAGGCAAATCATATCCAGGAAAAAAATTTCAATTTGAACTCGATGCATAACCAATCATAATTAATCACACAGCTTATGTCGCAGGACATACTTTGACAGTCTAATATTACGCCAGGAAGTGGAAATTTTTTAGTTTCCAATTCTTTTATTTTCAAAAATTATTTCAATTTTTTTGTTACGCTTACGATCGAATTTAGACTTTTTTCGTGTTAGCAACTTGTTCAACAGAATCATTTCGTATCTCTGCTCATAATGAATTCAAATTTCTATGCGCCTCCGACACATGTAGTCTGAAGGCAATGAGTATGCTTGGGACTACAAAGGTCCTGGGCTCGGATTTGAGCAGGACCTGTTTTTTAACCGGAAATAAGCAGTTAAAAAAAATTTTCTGCCTATTAATTGTCTGCGTATGTTTTATCGGCTTAGTTGCCACATCTCAGAAATTTAATGCTGTATGCAGTTTTCATTTTTGTTGATTTTTATGCTTTCATTTACTCACGCAATTTGTAATTCTACTAACCTTGACTTCGTATAATTCCTTTTTTGTTTTTTTTTCGCTCAAGATTTTTCGGCCTAAATGATTTCGGTTCATATTTTATTGGCATACTAACATTATTTTGGGCCGTTCGAGGGAACACTAAATTGTATGCTTTCCCTTGGATCCACAAAACGTTAGAAATCTCTCGGAAAAGAGTTTAAAATTCAAAGATTTTCATGACAGTAATTTATTTTTGCTCGAAAATTGTTTTTGAATTTTCATTAAACGCCGTCGAATGTTCCACAATCCACGAAACGTTAAAAAATCTCTCTGAACAGTTTATAATTCAAAAATTTTCAGGGCAGCACTTTTATTTTTGCTCGATAATTGTTTTTGATTTTTCATTAAACGCCGTATGTTTCTGGACGTGTGTTTCGCAAAAGGAACATTATTCCAGACAATATTTTGAATTTTTTTAGCTGTGTTTTCTTCGAAAATTTTTCCGCTTTCTTTGGACTTAGTGGCTCTCCTTCCGTCTTCTTCTTCTGTCTGCTAGCTTGCAATGCTATTTTGATGGCATCGCAAGTGATACGAAGCTCTCCTTCGCTTCTGTGTCAAACCTGATAATATATGTTTTGGCCTCCATGAGCATGAGCTAGTTCTCCACCAAATATAACGATATAGGTTTTCTAGTATTTGTGTGTTAGTTTTTAAAACAGGTTAGTTTTTGCCGTAAAAAAAGAGAAATTATCCACAAACAACAGTTTGAACTTTGTTTTCTCATTTTTTCTCAATTTTGCTTAAAAATTTTGCATGAAAGCAATCGGATCAAGCACTAACTCATTGTCTCGAATATCATCAAAAATAGACAGCACATTTGTTTACCTGAAAAGTTTGTTGAAAAATTGGGCTATTCGGCAGTTCTTCTAGTTTACTAAGACCAAACAAAACTTAAAAAAGATAATTGATGTTTTCAAATTAAGTGTAGTTGTGGATGCTTCTTCTGTTTCTAGAATTTTTACCCATAATTATTCATTCTTTTTTTTCATCTTCAGTGTGGTGAGTTTGTCAACAGGTTTTTTTTTGAGTGCTGAAAAATCGAGAATAAACTTTTGTAACCTATGAACTACTTCTTCAAAGAAATGCTACATATATTTGTTATTAAGTTTCAATCATTAAATAAATAATTGAATTATTAGTTCTGCACGTTAAAATAGTTTTTTATGAATAAAAGGCGAAGTATTTGTAAATACGGCCCAGTTTACCGCTTGAACTGAATTAATTGCAAAGTAAGGAAATCAACTTAAATTTAATTTTCAGGTGCGCCTTTGGAACCTAGTGCAAGTAGTAAACCCATCTCTTCTCCGTCAAGAGGCAGAAAAGAACCCGAGAAGCTAAAAGCCTCTTTGAGTTGTGACGGAGACCAAATGGATATCGAGACTACGCCTGCTGTGCAATACATGGATGGATCGCCCATTTTTTGACCCCTGATAACTCCACTTCACTGGCCTCTGAAAGCGAAGAGATCACTTGCAACTGAAACCATTTCAACAATTTATACTGTTATGTTTAAAAGAGTGTGAATTATAGTTTCCATTTACAGCTTAATTGACCAATCCTTTTCCATAATGCCTGCACACATTTTCACAGCAGGATCCTACTGATTAAAAGGAGATAAAACTGGGGCTTGATTGAGGGCATTCAACCCTACTGTACCCACAACTACTTTAGTAAAAACAAATTAAAGACCCTCCCCACTTTGTAACTTTGATGGATAGGTGCTATTTTTTGCTATGGAGCTATAATTTTAAAAAGCCGGCGTTTAGCCTTGGTACTATTGTCTCTTCAATTCGCTCCTTATATTTAAATTTTGAAAATGTAAATTAGCGTTTCCAAAAGTGAGGAAACTTTCCTTAGTGTACTAATTAACAGGGAGCCGAAGAAAAAATTGTGCTCGTAAAAATAGTTTTTTTTTCGTTTTGGTGGCAAAAAAAGTAGAAAAAAAGAAACTTTCAGTTTTTGCCTTTTTGAAGCAGAAACCAACACTCTTACACTTTTTTTTATCTATTTTACGGAAAATTTTTTCGGCTACAAGATATTATCCGCACATGAATGAAATTAGAATGATTTTTAATCACAAACTTCATTTTATGGTTCTGCTCGTAAAATTTTTGGCGCTCCTAAAATTGCATGTTTTTTCTCACTTTTTTAAATTTAATTAAGAGCGAAAAAAATTGTAAAAAGTATTTGATTTTTCCGCTCCCCCTGCTATGCAGCCTATCTTCCCTCATTTGAGTTTGAAAAATCCGATTTTGTTTTACGAACGGAAAAAACTATTAAAACATACTTTTATACTGAAAAAAAAAAGATCTAATAGATTTTATTATGGTGAAAAAATTTTTAATGCATTTTTATGTAATCAGTTTTTCTTGAAGATTTTTGTTGTCTGAAATGTTGTCAGGATAATCGGTTCTAATGCCTACTGCAAATTACGAAATTGAATATAAATCGATTAAAGTTCGTTGTTGTCTCTAACTTGAAATATATTATTTTTCAATTAAAATCTATAAGTTGGTTTGATATATCTTCAGAAACGATTTTTTATTCACTATTGTTTCATTTTGCATAGTTTTTGAAATGCATTTGAGATCTGTAAAAATATATATTTTATAACAAAACACGAATAATATGTTAGATTTCTCCTACACTACTTGAAATCTAAATCTACAAGCCTCTATGAAACTTTTTCCGGAACGATACCCTTCCAAACGTATTCATCAGCAAATTTATTGTGAAGTCAAAAATACAAACAAGGGAACGTAGCAAAAAGCAGATCTCGTTTTTAATTTAATCAACCTGCAAATAAAATAATTTTTAACTCTTCTTTATCTAAATTGCAATTTCAAACAGGTGTGAATTAAAAAAAAATGAAACAATGCATTTTTTTATTTTGGTTTTCTTCAGACTATAATCAATTATTGCTCGACTATGGAGACACAATCAAATCTATGAAGCAATTGATTGTTTTCTATAGGGGTTCATACTTTATATAGTCGTAAATTCACGCATTTAGCCTCAAAAAACGTTAATCTACTGTGGAAACAAAAAAACTTGAAACATTTGGGGGTGGCAAAGAGTCCAAAATATTAACAGAAGACTAACAAAGCTTACGAATAGCTCTTTTTGATCAAAAAGCAAAATAATTTTCAGAGGCGTTATTTTGTAACACCACAAAGAGCTTCACTCTTGTACATTTGATAAATAAGGGTCTTGAAACCTCATCAACTTTGCCTAATATATGACGAGTTCGATGATTGTTCTGAGAAACGTTGTTTACTGAAAAGGTTGTTCAGCTTCTGTCGTTATTGTGACTGCGTAAATTCATCAATATATTTGAACAGTGAGTGTAATTTACGCGATGAATTTCAAATCCCCTTATTTTTCAAATAGGCTCTTTGACTTCAACACTTTAATTTCTGTGTGCTGTAATAACTAGTAGCAAAAAGTTCGAACAGATACAAATAATTAAAATGAGCAATCTGCCAGTTTTGAAAATTTTTTGTGTTCCAATTCGAAATTGTGCCAACATTTTAAACTCTCTATACCTTTAATTGTCCAATCTAGAGAGAAGACCGTGAGCAAGTTTTGAATGATTGTCCAAAAACGCCAACAAAAGTATTTGAGTTTTTGAAGGCATTGAGATTTTTCAAACGGTGTTGACAAATTTTTTCAAAGACGCAACGAAGCCTGTTGACATCGAAACGTTTTGGAACTAATTACACGCAAGCGCCGCATCGAAATAATAAGTTTTTTTGCATTATTTAACATGAATCAACTTTGAACACTCTGTATAAGTTTTTGATTTTTGCCATCATTCGCAATTATTATAGAATGATAAAGATTTTTCGTCTGGTTAGGTCAGTTCATATTTTGCGGTTTTTTTGCATGCTGGAAAATAATGTTTTTTTAAATTATCACTAACAACAGATTATCAAAACAATTTGAAAAGCGAGCAGAACACTTTCAGTCAGCAAAATACTAACAAGTTGAGTCGCAGATAGATTCATTTTTTGTGTTTCTGAGAAGTAAAGCAGTTTTTGTCTGAAATGTAGTCGGGTAGTGTATAGATGGTGTTCTGGAAATAGAATTTCAGCTTTGTTTTATTATTTTGAAAAAAAAAATGCGAAAAAGGACAAATTGTGCCGTGTAATCAAATTCTGCTACTCGATAAAATATTCTGTTCTAAAAGCTGAGTTTTGGCAATCCTGCTGCTAGTAGGATTTTTTGAGGTCTAAATAGTAAATAGATCCTATAAATTGTTTCCCGCTCATTATAGGATCAATCTTCTACAAACGGTAGTCATATCACCGGTCCCTCAATTGAAAAACCACTTCAGAAGAATCGGTCAAATTGAATAGCGTCTCAGACCGCTTTCATTAGGTTTTTGAAAAAAAGTCAAGATAAGTTCGAGTTGCTGAATTTTGTGATGCGTAAAAGACCATAGTTGACTTGATGCCCAAAAACTCTCAATATGGACCGACCATAGAGTAATTATCAGAACAAAATGGGTATATAATGGCTGAGATATCTCGTATTAATTACGGTGGCCTGGAAAAACGACACAACGATAGGGTTGAACACCTGCTCAAAACAGTCAATTTTTGCGGTTAAAACCTGCCCTAACTATCTGTTCCATCCTTCAAAGAGTGTTCCATATATTAAAAAGAAATTAACAAACCTGAATCCGATTTACTGGTGGCGAGTTTGCAGTCTCAACTAGTAGTAGAATTTAATTATTTCAATGAAAAAATTTCTATTTCACGCTCCCATTAGGTTTTTTCATTGTTTATCCAATGATCACAATGATTGCCTAATGATCGTTATGTATACCAAAAGAGCCTAAAATGAAGGTTTTGTAAGTATGAAATATTTTTCATTATTTAAGTTATAATGTTTGTTTCTATATGTTATTGTGTGTATGTAAGCTTACATGTAACTAATGGGGCTAGGTCTTTAACCAGACCGACCTTTTACCAGACCACAATTTAATAATTCAGTTAAGATAAATTTAAATTAGTGGAAGATTCAAAAAGGAAGCTGTTAGAACAAACAAAACTTAGCTGAGAAAACCGTGAAATCATTGTCTTTAACCAGACTAAACGAACGGCGTCAATACATCTGTCAATCAAATTTGTTTATCGAGTCTGGTAAAAGGTCCATGTTATAACTTTTCTGGTAAAAGGTCCATGTTATAACTTTTCTGGTAAAAGGTCCATGTTATAACTTTTCTGGTAAAAGGTCCATGTTATAACTTTTCTGGTAAAAGGTCGGTCTGGCAAAAGGTCGGTCCCCGTAACTAATGTCTGTTTGTTTATTTGTATTTTACTTACTAATTACCTGTATGCATTATAAATGTGTACTTCATCTTGTATGTCTGCACGCATGTATGTAGGTTTGATTAAAGGTCTGTTTATCTGTATGATGTCATTTATGTTGTGTACATTGAAAAATATGTTTGCATGTGTGACTAAACTTAATTTTTTTTTAATTTTTTGCTTCTGTTATTTGTAAATTTTTGTATGTATCTTATATTTGTGCGTGTTTGTATATATCTCTGTTCGAATAATGTATGAACCTATCTGAAGGCTAAGATATACCTTTAGAAGACTTTTCGAAGAATTTGAGATCCATACCGTTAACGGGAAGTTGAACTTGAATTGGAACTCAACACACAAACAAAAGAAGAAAATCAGGCTTACACAAATACACAGTGCTTCACATATGGTCACAAACATGCATTTAAATGCAATAGTAGATATTTATAAAATAATTAGTAGAAATTTCAGGTTACCAAGGACTAAAAATAGAATGAGTTTGTTTTAAGTATAGACTTCTGACTGTGGCTACAGTCTAAAACTTTTTCGCAATCGTTTATCCTTGCTCAGCTTTTGGATAAACCCTTTTAAAGACACAATTTTTTTTAAACATGAAAAGCAAACATAGATACATGACATTGCACACACAAAGAACTATTTTATAGCAAATCTATAGTAATTAGCGAACCTTTCTACAAATATCTAAAAAAATCAGTTCGAAATTAACATTCATTCCAATTTACTTCCATGAAATATTAAGCTTCGAAGCACTAAAAAGACATATGTAAGTTTGTATATATTCCTATATGTATGTTAGTAAGAAACTATAAGAAGGCTAAGGTGTACTCTTAGAAGTTTTTCGAAACAATTCGAAAGATATAACTGTAACCGGAAACTGAACTTTAATACATAAGCAATGGAGGCACAGCAGGAAAACACAAATGCTCACGTGCTTCACACACATGGACACAAAAATGCGATTATATGCAATAGATGGTACTTTTATGAAAAAAAGGCGATTATATGCAGTAGAAAAAGCGGCAAAAGTTTTCAGATTACCGAAGACAGAAAGTAGAATAAGTTTGTTTTATGTATGGAATTCTGATTATGATTACAAGTCTGAAACTGTTTCACATTCATTTATCCTTCCTCGACTTTTGCATAGTTCTCTTTGAAAGCGACAATTATCATTTTAAGACATGAAAAACTAAGATAGATACATGCAAT